TAAACAATGATCATTCAGCAGCAATTTTCGGTGATCTATGGGGTGCAGCGATCATGTCAATAACTTCTGCTGATGTCATTGTGTTTTTTAATTAACCTCCGATGGGAAAAAGTTTCGTGTTTAGAGTTAATTTTAACCCATTCATGTGCGATATAGCAGCCGCTGCTTACACAGATTACTGATGCGGGTAGATTACGAGATTGTTACCTGCCAGCGTCTGGTAAAACGATCCGGCAATCTTAATAATGATTTATTCACATGGGGTAACATTAAACCAATATTTATATTTGGAAAGTCACTTTCTTTTAGCATATTATTACAGAGCACATAGCCACTATAATTTGCCTTATTTCAAGTATCTGCATAAATATACATTAATTTGAATGTAGCCACAAATTGCAACGTTGAAAAGACGGAGAGCTACCTTAAGATACACAGGGTCTTATTGAACCTTCAATTCAACTGATTAACAATGTTTTTTAGATTATTTTTGACCAGATTACTTTACCAGCCGAGCAAAAAGATCAATTCCGTACACATCAGAATACCATCTCAATTGTAAGATTAGAGTTCACCAACACATTTTTCCCAGTTAGACCATAGCTCAGTTCCGTGCTGCTTTCAGGCCAGTTCAGTGTTTCAGGCTAACATGGTGAACTCTATGTGAACTGGAGCTATAACCGAGATACCCTCTGTGAAAACAAATTGAAGCCGAGTTGAGTACCAGTGCCAGTCCATTTTTATTGTTGACAAATGATGACAAATCATCACGGTTGTCGATCGCAATGCTTTTCCGTAGCAAAGCTTATTCATTCTGGATTGTTCCAGTGAGATCGCTTTCGGTCGCATCACTTAGCCACTACCAGACTGTGCGTCGGATAATGCGTCATTTTCCATACGACGTTTAAATTAGGAACATTACGGGATCCCTTCGCTTACTTTGAAATTGACTCTGCATTTTATGAAATAGCTCTTTAGAATTCTGGCATATTTTGATAACGAGTATTTATGTTACAATTTCACAGGTCAATCGTAAAATTTCTATCCTTCTTGCAGACTGCATTAACTTGGAATTTTCATCTTTTCAATTTTCAGCAAATTTAATAAGCCTACAAGAAGGCTGTTAAAGTTTTTATATTCTCAAATATATCTTGAAAGAATGAAAGCTTTTTTCAATCGAAGCTATGGCCGATTCCTGAGAATTCAATCTTAGCTTAAATTTGAGATGTGTCTGGTTTTGACTTCAAATTAAGACCCATACAATATATTGAGTGAAGTTTCATGAAAACCTAATTGATGTCTCAGTGAACGGAGTTTGATAATAATCATTCAATAACAATTTGCAAATTTCTGTGCTGCTCTTATCAAAATGTGACTCTTAATTATGCATGCATGTTTCGTTTAAATATTTACTTATTAACGAAAGCTTGATACGCAACATTGCTGTAGCAAAATTATTCATGTCATTTTTTGCTGATGCAATATCAGTAGAGGGAAAGAAATAAGAGCTATACAACGTAAAGATTCAGCCGGAAATGAGCCTGCGATGAATGAAGTCTCAGATCGTGGTTAAACGTGATTGGTTTATATGATGATGGACGTAAACCTAGAGATAAAAGCGACGAGTTTACATACCCTTGGAACGAACTAAAAATGGCGATTAGATTATATTACATCTTCCATGTCCTGTACTTCTTGTTACATCCAGCAATATTTTTAATACTCGACTTCTTATTCACCATTACAGTCTATATTATTATTTCTCACCAACTTCCCATATCAGTGACAGACGAATTTGGAGAATCAATGGCAATATTTTTGAAGGAGATAATTTTTAAAGTATACCTACCACTATGCTTCATTTATACGACAAATCTCATCATGACTTATATAATCAAGTGGAGAAATTTGGACAGTGTTTCATTCAATGCGACGAACCATTTTTTTATGACAGCGCTTTTCATTTCGCACGTATGGTCAATATTGGTAACTTTATATTATCTTGACGCGTTTTCCCTTGATTTTTTGACGTTAGTTTGGAAAGGGCGATCCATTGTATTTACATGCCAATTGCTTTATCATCTCAAGATGTTTGGCCCTCACGAATTTAGCCGTCACATTTATGGGTCAGTAATGTGGGATATATTCGACGCCATGTGGTTCCTTGCTTCTGGAATTGAAATTGACGTGAAATCTCGAATCTCATATAAAAAATTGGTTTGCTGGTCTTCCCTCTTCAGCTCAGTTGCTACATTCCTGGAAATGTACCGCCTGACCTATCCTGCTTTAACAAACTGGGTTATGCCGTGGATAAAGATGGCTTTTGTTGGTGCATTCCTTGCCACTCGGTTTGTTTTATTTCTGCTCAGGCCAACAATCGGTGATACATTCTTCCTTATTAGGATTATATATGAACTGTGCAGTTTATTTATCGAAATAATGATAACAGCCATCCTAAGTGCATTAGAAAACATGTTCATATAGTGTAGTTTGGACATTATCGGTATATAGCTCATGACTGAATAACTCGAAAGATTATACATATCGTTTTAGGTATATAAACAGACAATTATTACTTTTGAATTGTTGAAGATAGCCGTAGTCTTCAATACAAAAGCCCAGTTGTTGTTAAAGATGAGTTCCTAGTATCCAGGCCCTTCGCTGATATTTTGGTCGCGCTACTTTTTTTTCAAAAACGGCCAAATTTGCATGTTTGAGCGCTTGTATCTCTGAAATTAAGAATCTAAGCAAAAAACTGATGTAGAACTTAATAACTAATTTTTTATGCTCTATCAGAATCACCAAAAACCCATTTTGGGTTTATACGCACTTTAAAATAGTATTGAAATATATTACTTTCCAATCTTTGTAAGCTGCTCGGTAAAAAGGTTACCTTCAAAAGTTATAGAATATTTATTATATATTAAGTTTATTAAAGGTGTATTCTGTATTAATAACATATTGAAAACCTATCTTTTGTCTTTAAGCAGTGGTTAGAATACGCAGCACAAACTGCTAATAGAATTTACTAATGAAAATCATACCCATAGAATCATAGAATCTACACTAGATGCTTAAAGTATTGTTTATTTTCGACGCCTTACTGAGACGGTAAATGGTATATAATTCGCCAAAGCCTTTATATGATACGCTTTTGCCATAGTGTGTTTTGTTATTGTTTTAAAGCATGTATACACAAAGTTATTTTGAATAAATATTTTTTGCTCACAGCATGATAGGTATTTGTTGAAAATACTGGAGGGAACTGGAACACCAATTAATACTAAGTTATTTCATCCTAATATTCAGTACAAAATGTTTAAAACTTTGGATTTAACAACGCAAAAGTGCAACTGTGATCACAGAAACTTTGACAGTGTAAACCGGGCTTTAACGCTCGTAAGTCTACAAGTGTTCGACGTGTCTCTTCAATCAAAACAGGAAATATTCAAATGCAGTTTCAAACTGTCGCTAATGAGCAGGGCCATTACAAGAGTTTCAAAATAATAGAAAAAGCACCGTCTTGCCCCCTTACCAGAATTTCATTTCTTTTAAGGCAATTTAAGTCAATTTTTGGCCAATTAATCGCGATAACCTCCAATATTAGGGAATCCTCGGTAAACAGTTTACAGACATAATAAATATATGTTATTTACCAGATTGGACGTTCGTATCGGGAAATAATTCCCGGCCAAGGTCTCAAAAACAGCGTTTTGAGATCGAGGGAAATATTTCCCTATACGGACCGACTAAACTGGTAAATAATAGATTTATTTTTTTCTTGCGGTCCGAATTTATATTTTAGCGTTGGCTCTGTGCTACGGCCTCATACGGACCGCTCGCGTAGCCAATCAGAGTGCAGGAAACGCTAAAGTATGAATTCGGACCACAAGAGAAAAAATAATGACAGTTACTTTTAATGTCCGCATTCTCTAACAAACAAGTATTGATATACAGTTATAATATAACAGCAATTTCCATTCGTCTGCGTTGCAGCAATTATGTCAACAATTCTCTGCTGAACTCATCGTGTTTATAATAACCACCTATTAAGTAAACTTCCCTTATATTTGCCCCTGCAGATTACCGGTGCGGGTAAATCACGAGATTGTTACCGGCCAGTGCCTGTTAAAAAAGGATTAGGCAATTTTGAAAATGATTTATTCACACGTGGTATCTTAAACCACTCTTTATATCACAAAAGCCGCTAGCCATCTTGGGTGCAACCTCGTTCCCAGGGTCTTTCTAGGGTGGCGAGAGAGAGCCTTTAATTCAACTGATTAACTGTTACGGACATATTTAAATCGATCGCGCCAACAAAAAACAATAGAAAGAGACTGGTGCTGGTCCTGAATTCCGCTTCAAATTAGCTTCAAAGATATAGCGGCCAAATAACCGCCAGATAACGTTCCAGACTGTATAGAGCTCACAATAACGTTCGTAATATCATGGCTGCCTCGAAATCCTTTGTTTTACTAGTATCGATTAACAACAACTAAATAACCCGATGCATATAAATTAGGGACGATTACTAACTAATCGTACCTAATGTTTATGCCAAATACCCGCCTTTGTTATTCATTTATCTCCCAGCACATTAGCCTGCGCCGCAGACCCATGCCCGAAATAGAAAGGCGGGGAATTTCCGCCATATTCCGTCTATGCGTAGACTACCAGCACATCGAATAACTATAAAAGTATTCCTATTGCCTCGGTAGCCATAATATTACAAAGTAATAGCATGGCGTTTCGGTCGATTAGCGATTAAATGTCCCTCAAGCGTCGGCAGGTTTAGTAAAAGTCCCCCGGGCTTCGCCCTCGGGACTTTTACTAAACCTGCCTCGGCTTTCGGGGACATTTAATCGCTAATCGACCTCAAAGCCATGCTATTACTTATAATAATAACGTTCCAGATATTACCGAGCTCACAGGGCATAAGCATATCAGCATATGCAAACCATTGTTCAACGTTTATTCAGAATTATGAATTAATTTATTAGTTAAGATGATTCAAAATAACTTTAATAAGCGCTTAATTATTACATCATATTTCTTACAATATTTCGTATTAAAAATTACACTATGGCAATTATATTACCGTGCTTTATTTTTATGCTTGCAATAATCGTGCAAATTCTTCTGAAGGCTGCTGCAATACTCAGCTTGTCAAAAAATCTTATTAAGATACTGTGCATAATGTCTACGAAAAACTTGGATCTAGGTAAGTATGAAGTCATTTAACAACACATGACGAGATATATATAAAATAGTTTAAAATTGCTTCAACGTTTAAATGCTTCAACGTCATGGAAAAACTAGAAAACATCAAGATATTTTTGAAATTTTCTCTGGCTGCCAATAAGCGAGGATCTTTTAGAAACTATTGTTCACATTTTAAAGCGTTTCTTTAGTGAACATGAAATATTTTAAAACTTTCTACGACTGCTACTTTACTGGTAGTATTTAATATGAAACTGTGAACTTAGACATTTTCTGGTTTGGCAGAACTGATTTGAGAAAATACAGTGTTCCCATGCAGTAAAAACAATGCAAAAGGTAACCAGTTTGAACAAGGCAATGTTGCTGTTTAACTAATCGCTGAATTCCTCCACAAATACATTATATTCATTGTTTTTGTTCTTTCCTAAATTGAGGGATCTCTCAAAGAGCGGCAAATCATCTCTAGGACTCGTTCTGTAGAGTTCCACGCTCGATCCTTGCTCCATTTCCTCCGGGGTGGTCGGCTTCAAGTTCGACATCCAAAATTCGGCGCGTTCCTCCGTGTCACTCGCTGGTTCAGGTGTTCTCATTTTCATCAATTCTTCTTCAACTTCCTTGAAATCGTCGTCGTCCGAATCCTCGGGTTCCATTCCCCCCTCATCGCCCCCCTCGATAAACAGTCTCTGGGAATCATCGTCTTGCTGAAGTAACCGGTCGATATAAGACATGCTCGCATTCAGAGATGTCGTTGAGTCCGTCATCGGCGTCCGACAGAACCTCTCGGCCGTCGACGGAGGCCTTTCGTTGTATCTTTGATAGTACCCTTCGACGCTTCCAATCCGTGCGTCGGGGACTTCACTTGCGCCTGAAAACAGATTTCTTTCGTCAACGGAAGCCACGGTGGTACCGGAGAGTTGCGACCATCTTCCTTCTTCAAGCGAGTCATCAGAATCGTCGCCCGAACTGCTGTCGTCGGAATCGTAGAGAGTCGCGCGGGAGAACAACACCGAACTACGCATCGTCATTGCATCGTCAAATTCTTCGCCATATTCCACAAGCCAGTTCTTGAAATCTTTCTCGGTGTAAGCACGCATCACCTCATCGAAGAGAGGGATAGCGTCACATACCTCCGTCTCCGTCATGTCGTTGTCGACGTGAAGCAGCAATCGCAGCAGGAGCTTCTTTTTGTTCGCACATTTCTCCGGATCGAACCAGCTCGCATGGCGAATCTCTTCCATGCAGAGATTCCGAAATGCCATTTCAACCTTCTCCGTCTTCTTTTCAATCTGATCGAAGGACTCGTCGACTCCCGACAACGGCTCGACGTACACGGGCTTTATCGCCGGCGAAACTCTGTATCCGATGTACGACTTGAACTGGTGGACCATGAAGTCGAGAATTTCGTGGTCGTTCGACTGGTTTGAGGCGTCGGACGTCACCGAATTCAACGCTTCCGAGATGATGGCAACGAAGACGTTGATCAGGATGAAGTTGACGACGAACGTGAAAGTAAAGAAGAAAATTGGACCAAGAACTCGGTGCGCTTCGACCAGGGCATGGAAGTTGAAAGCGCCCAGAGTCATGCCGAGTACGTTTGCCATTGACGACTGGAATGTGTGATAGTCCGGAGCGATTTTACCAAAGACGATGAACCCGAACGAAGCGTAGGCCAAGAATACGACGATGTATACAAGGAAGAAAGACGCAAGCGGTTTATAGCATATCTTCAATGTTTTGCTCATGAACGACATTCGTCTGTTGAAACGCAGCAAGCTGAGCGTCTTCAGGAACGAAAAGAACACAGCCATTCCCAAGGTGAACGTCGACCATTGATCCAACGCAGCTGCGTAGTGGAAGCTCACGAAGGATTGTGGATCATCTCGCATTAAACCGATAGAATAGTTAGTCGCGACCATACGAGCGAAGTAAAGACCGATTGTTGAGAAGCAAGAAGAGAGAACGAGCAATTCCATGTACGTCCACGCATCTTTCCAATACAGCCTTCCCTCACGGCGCCATTTCTTGAATTCGCGATAAGCAAAGTAAAGTAGGAAGGTCATAAGGGTGATTTCTAACACCATGATTGCCAAAAGATTTGGTCCGTAGTAACGATAGAGTCTCACTGGGTATATTTGATTGAACTGATAGTAGGCACCGGTGGGAATGATCTCGGAAACGAGTGTGATTAGACAGAACATGTTCACGTTCGGATTGTATGTCGTGAACTCTAAGAATATTGCCCGAGTGTAACGGTCGAGCCAATCATTTTCCTGCAAGTAGGCAGTCATGTTCATCGCCAAGGTTTCGTTGTGACCCAAGTCAGCGACAAAACCTACGGGATATTATTTTATTTTTTAACATGTCTAAATTTATTGTTTATTTTTATCAAATTTTTATCCTTTTACTAATTTTTATTGTTTACTGAAACGTAGGGATTAAAGAAAAATAATAATAAAAATTTATGTGTAATTTTTTACGAAGCAAGTGCTGTTAAGATTTAAAATTTTAGCATTTCTTTAGAAAGATTTCAAGGTGCCGTTGATTCAAATGCGTTCAATCGTTATGAGAGAGGTCAAAGGCCTGTCCTTTCCACATAAATAATCATCAATACCCATTTCTATCCATAATTATCAACACAAATATCTTCGGTCACCCTACCTCCTCCCCAGTATGTTGAAAATGATGCCCAATATGGCGTCCCTTTCAGTTCCCAAGCGGTATTGTATTGCCAAGCATTTTTCTGTTTCTCAGTGGCTGTATCATTCTTCTTGATCTTCGCCTTGGGGTCTTTCACCCACCCCTCCAGGTACTGACCCTCGTCTTCTTTCTCCCAACTGTAGAAACTGTTACACTCTTGGAACATGTGTTGAAATGCCGGATGAATTGAACATTGATCTGAGATAGACAGAAAAAGATTTGGTTACATTTCATGAACCTAGTCTCTAATTTGTTGTAATTGATATGAACAAGGCAAAATAGTTTAGAAGTATATTTGTTTCAATTTCTTTACTCAAATCGGTCACATTTTGAGCGCACAGACGTAGAAATATTCCATTACATCAACCATATTGTCAGGTTCACGACAATTGAATGGAGACATGATTTAAGCGGATATAACAAAAGGAGAAGATGTTGTCAGTAGATCTATGGTCTTAAAATGTGGCGAAGTTGTCTACAAACGAGCTATGATTTAAGACGAGATGGCTTCACTCCTTCCGTTGCAAAAAGAAAGCAATGCTGTGCAATGGATTATGTAAAAAGCTCAAAAACGACGTCTCACGTACGTGTGGGACTTAAATTGTTCATATGAAGTCGAACACTATTCCTGTCGTGCAATTCATAAATAATAGTTTTGTCCAGAACAAACAGAAATGTCTAACTTACTTGGTTTAACTCTCAGCTGTCTGAATCTCGCGACTCCGACGGTATAGTCCGTCGCACGGTCGGCTACGAAATGTTCCGGGAATGGAAAGGTATTATTCAGCACGATGCTCATGTCTGGGAACTCGCCTGGTCGCCCCTGAATCTTGCGAACCTTGTTTTTGTTCAAATTCAATCGGCTACGCGCGCCCCGAGAACGCGAGATCAGCGGATCACTTTTGACCCAGACCACGTTTTCTAGGATTTGATTTGGACCATACCACTGGTTTGGGATAAGTGTGGGTAATAAGGTGTATCGACTCCAATACCAGAACAGTTTAGGATCGGTTATCTAAGAGTAAATTGGATTAATATCGGCAGCCGTCAACCAGGAAATTAATAAAAAATCAATATTTCAGCAAACTTTCAACTAATAAATCTAAACTACTGTAGAGTACGTATTCTCAAAGAGGAAAAAACAAACACGGTAGAACACTTTTGCTGGGAAAAAGTAATCACTAAAACATCCTTAATTCACGGGAAAAACTAAACAAGAATTCAGAAAGAGTTGAGACCTGAATCTCATAGCATTATCACTATATTGTTTTTTTCTTAAGATATATCTTAATTTGTAGTAAATACCGAAGATATCTTTGCTTCAAAACAAAATTGGAAACGCAAATGTGGCAGAAAACCGAGGAGCTTTATTCTGAATCTTACTGGAACTAAATTAAAGACAATAATACCTCGCCAAAATCAATCCAATTCGTGTAACTGCTTCCTTCAAACATGCTTGACATGGTGGAGGTAGTGTCGTAGGCAACCTTATCCTTGTTACCATGGGCAACGCTCAGTAGGACACTCACGAATATAAAGTACCAGATTATATCGTAAAGAATATATTTCATCTTTTTTTGTTTCAGTTTTAAATCCCTGCTTTCCTGAAGTTTCTGTGGATCCAGTGGTTTAGGGTCAATTCGGGCCATTGATACCAAACCTTGATAGATCATAAAAAAAAGAGTCTTGATGTTGTTTTCTTATTTGTAGTTGTCGTTTTCGTTGTTATTACATTTGTTGTTTTTATTGTTGTTGTTGTGGTGGCGGTAAAAGGTATTATTATTGTTGTTATTGTTGTTGTTTCCTATGTGTTGATACATTGTTATAACAGTTCCTTCTTTTTGATGTTTCTGTTTAAACGCTCTTGCTAGTTGTCTTTGCTTTGTTGTTGTTGCTGCTGTTGCTGCTGTTGTTGTTGTTGTTGTTTACTTTGTTACTGTTTTTGCTGTTGTTGTTGCTGTTGTTTTCCTTTGCAGCTCCTAGCGTTACACTGGTTAGTATTCTTTCTGTAAACACTGACAAATGAACAACATCAAACATACCTCGACCTTCCATGTTCCTCTCCGTGTATTCCTCGTCCTCTTGAAGCTCTGGCGATGGTAATTTATCTTCATCATCCTCCCCAGTTGCCTTCTTCGGGTCTTTGGTAATGAGCGCAAACAGCGTTGCAGCGGCAAAGACCTTCAACGGTTGCGAGATGAGCACGTCTTGCCAGAACGAGATCATCATAGCTGAGATCCACGCTTCGGACTTGGCTTTGCCAAACGTCAGGCCATAGAAAACGGTGAACGTGGCGGATACAGAGCAGGCGATGAATATCGCGAAATATGCGACGTAAATCATATAGTGAGGCAAAGAAGACTTCTTTTTCCCATCTTCAAAAAAATTGAAAAATATTTACGAAATGATACAACGAAAATAAATAAAATATAAAAACAGATATTATGATCTAGGACTTCGTAGACTATTAAGATCGATGAGGCGTCTGTGAATATTAACAGCAATACCCTGGGTATTTGCATTCGATTTGGCAGATGAAAAGTTCGACCCGTGAAACAGGTCTATTTGCAAAGAATGAATGATTTTAATAGTTATTCTCACTATATCAAGAGTATTATGAGATCAGTGGTAACGACTTGGTGTTTCCGTTATGAGGTTACCTTTTTCCTCTTTTCCTTTTTTCGATTTTGATTCTTTAACGTTCTTTTTTTTCCGCGATTCGTATTTGGCTTCTTCTTCCTTTTGCTTTTCTTTCGCCGTTTTCTTTGGTCGTGCATTTCGGAAGATCCAGACGACAAACAAGTTGACAGGAAGCACAACCAAACTGCTCGTGATAGCGATAGAGAGCTGCTGTATGGAAAAGCTCAACGGACCCACCTTAAGTACACCATCGCCAGACGACGACGGGTCGTTTTGGTAGAACATTGCGTTTGCAAGCATTGTGGTCAGCAGGATACACAGACAACACGACAGCCGCTGTACACGTGTGAAGTTACTGCGGGCAGGTCTCTTGACGACCGAGAACCAGATGTGTCCGTCGGAGAGGTTTTTACGAGCTTCGTTTTGGAACAAGAGGTTGAACTTCGTGAGGTCTTCGGCGCCTGCCGGTCGGAGGACTCGGTCAATCTGACCGTCATCTTCTTCAACAGCCAGCCAACGATCGCAGAGGAACCACGTCTTGGTATCTCTGTGGATATCGTGAACCTTTAGGGTAAAGCGAATATTTCAATTATTTTGGTGTTGTAAAAAACTTATTGGTGTTGTAATTATTGCCAAGGATTTGCGAAGAACAACCTTCAATGCAGGCCAAGGATTCTTGCAAAATGAGGGTGCTGAAATGCTTGAGAAATATTTAGAGCAAGCGATGGACTAAAGTTGTGGGGTTCCACGAGAAGTTGTCTAGCTATTCAATGAGACTTACCATCAGACGTAGTAAGTACCAAGATGGAGAACTGCCACCATTATTGTGCCAGATACGAAGGCTTCTCAATTTCCCCAAAGACGAAGGAACGGTTAACAGAAAGTAGTTGATGCTCCCAACGGAGATTTTGTTTTTGCTCGGATCTTTTAACATTCTCACCGGCGTCTCGTCTCGCGTTCCTTCCAAGATGAAGAAAATATCTGCCGTCGTTCCGGCCTCGGCGCTGAACCCAGTGTAGACGGTGATTTCGTAGCTGTATTGATCACGAGGGTCGTTATCAGGTAATGGAACCACGCCAAGCTGAGAAGAAGAAACAGTTTTAGAAGGGAAAACGTCGCTCACACTCAAACTAAGAAAAGAAGAACCTTAAAACTACGCATATAAAGATATTTCTACCAGACCTTTCGTCCCATGATTTTGTACAATTGATTACAATGATCAGAGACGTTTTATTAAAAGATTTCATCATAACAAAAAACCTTTGACAACAGAATATTTTAATAAAAAATGGAAGGAAACATGCTCCGAAAAACAACAACATCTTTGTAAACACAGGTTTGTTTGTTAAACTTTTTCACATCGCATTGAAGTACTTTATGCCTCGCAGATATTTAAAACCATGATTTTAGATCTGCCAGTCTTAGCTACAGTAATTCACTGAAATTCCACCCAGAAATGACTTCCTTCCTTTATAGTATCATGCATTACCTTTTCCAAATCTTTCTTGTCCTGTCTACGAGCGGGAATAAGCAGAATAAAATACAGAAAAATGAACGACATCACGACGGCGAATACGACAGGATTGCTGAAAAGATTATCCAAGCTTATCGCACTCCAGTCAATCGTATTAGGAGCAACGACCATATCTCCACCGAACGATGTCAGATGCGTACATAAACATTGTGTTCCGTCCATAGCTGTCTTTGGACCGACCTGAAATCAGATCAAAATCAAAGTTAGTAAGAGTTGAAGCATTCAAGGCGATTTATGAATGCGTAAAATGACTTGGTTCATGGCAAGTTATCATTAATAATATTCTTGTATGTTTGCATGGTGACAATCGATAAGTAATTTAGCTTGTAGGTACTTCACGTAAATATATTTAATACTTAAATGAAAAATTATAATTTAGTCTTTTAATTCTTAAGTATTAAATACTTACGTGGTGTACCTACAAGCTAAATTACTTAAGTTATCGTTAGTTTGACTGCAACTTGGTATAAACTGTCGACTCTATACTCATGCTATAAGTTGTCTGAAACAAGTGTTCAGGACTCTGCTGATCCTGGTATCTATAGCCAACGAATCGACAATATTTCGTACTTACAACACATCCGTCGCTTTTCCAAGTGTCATTCTCGATGCTCCAGTACAAACAAGACGAAGTAAAGGTTCTCATCGTGAAATTTGCAATCGGTGGAATGAATTCTTTATATGTTATTTTCCCACCAGAGATAACAGCCTCGTACAGCGGGTCAAATGTCCCGTTGTACTTCACGCCAATGTAATACTGCAAAAGAAATCACAGAATCTATGAACAAAACTAATCTGTATTGATCCTCCTTAATTGTAGACTGGCTATTTCTATTTTTTTCAGCACGTTTTTGTAACCGACGTGAGAAATATGAACCGTACGAAAACAAAACTTTAATTATTTAACTGTAAATCAACTCCGAACCAAGAATACGTAATTACCTGCATACGTATTACAGTGCTGCATTTTACCATTTACAAACCAATTCGTCAGGCTGATGGTAGCTTTAACAAAGTTTTCAACGAGGAAAACGTACTAAGCACAGCTTGAAAGAGCATCTTAGATATTGTACAATCCCAAAGTTCAGTCGTAAAATATTTTAAAATGCGGAAAATAGAGTCGCGTGTAATTATCTCTGGATTCAAAAATTGATAAGAATTATGGCTTTCGGAAAAATGCGCAAAATTAAATCAAAACAGATTTGAGTTAATTTGGTTCAAACAGCCAACCGACGACCCTGGATTATTTTCGATTATCAACATGGTTAGAAACAAAACTAGTTACCTTTCCCGCGGCTGTTCTGTTTAGGTCCTCGTTAGACCGGAACAAGATGTAAGGGTTTATTTCCCGACCGGTTTTTGTCTTGTTCGCGGTTCCATTCCCCGAGTGCTTGACGGGAAACACACGTCTCGGCAGCACGTATTTAAAATCATAATTTTCCTCGGTCGGAAATTTTCCGAAGCGCAAATAAGCGATGAGTTCTGTGTTGTTGTCTTCGGCGAGAATCTCGACTTGTATCGAGGTATCGTTCTCCACGACGGGAAATGCTCTGTACAGAAACCTGCCGTGGTTCACGGCGTAAAACGAGAAATCCACGGACATTCCACGTGGCACCCACATGTCAATCGGCTTGGATAGGTTGCTCACTTTGATCGGATGGCCCGAGGCGTTCTTCAATTCCATCGTCATAACCTTGCTCTTCACTTTCGACGAAGTCGAGTCCCAAGCGAATGGATTCTTCGAATTTGAAACAGCCTAGTAATAAAATATCTTAGCATGTCGTCGACATTGATAAGGCGTTTGCACTTGCAATTTTTGCATGCTGCGATTTTCTTCTTTTGGTAGATCTGAACGAGTGATTAGTTACGAATGCTCTGATTATAAGAGTCTTATTTGAACTTCATCAGTAACTAGTTTACTTGTTCACATCTATCAAAATGAAGATCATCGCCAAAAAATGGCAGCAAAAATTGTAAATGTAAACGGTCCTATACAATTTTGATCATGAAACATGCGAAAATGGAATATCCTTCTTTGGATTCAATATTTGAAGCTCATTTGTTATCGGGGGCGTTTGTTTAGACACCATAAAATCTTTACAGTGCAACTCTATTTCAATAGATCTAATGTCGGTTGACTAAAGTTACATCGAATAACAGCATAGAATAGTAATCCAAGACATCCAAGAGTGCCGTGATGGAGCTCTACGCATTGTGGAGATGATAGAAGAACCAGTTGAAAAACTTTATGATGAGATAGCTGTTTAATCGCGGTAGAGCTACAAACCTTAGTATCAACAGGTGGTATTTTTTTCGTATCGTTGCCGTCAATACCGAACAAAGCTCCGACATTCGGCATCATGAAGTTTCCACCTCCTGTGTTCGCCCCAATATTCCCGCTTTCCGATGGATCAGCCCTTTGCACGGCCATGGATAAGCGCTCCGTTTTTACCTCGGTCGCCGGTTCTCCGGCAAATTTCTGCGTCAAAACGGCCGAAGCTAAATTCTCGACGTTCTCCATCGCTTTTGTAACGAGACCTTTGCTCTGTGATAACGAAAAGAAGAGTTTAACGGATTAATCGATACCAGAAAACGTCTTGAAACGTCTTGGGCAAACAAAGATATCTTAGGAATAGATATTATTCAGATTAAAATGAATTATTCGTCTATAACATCTCATTGCGAGATCCCTGCCTCAGGTAAAAAGCAAGCCAATGAGATATATCATAGTCTATGAATGGATCTTTCGTTTTCAAATTGTCTTCAAATCGTTCCAGACTACAATATTCTCGTGAAATACTCACAGCACTATCCGTCTTTGTCGTGTTATCACCACCGTCATCTGAGGCGTTGTAGCTTTTTCCAGTCTCTATAGACGCTTCCATCGAGTTTCCAAGTGTGTTGATAAGTCCACCAGCAGCGTTGTAAGTATCCTGCGGGTTCGGGGGCTCTTCTGACTGAGTGCTGTTGCCAAGGAAAGCGATCATTTGATTCGCCGCGTTCATTGCACTGTCCTGTAAGATTGAACAACGGTAGGTCTATCCTTACGACGAGTTTGTAAGGCTTTAATTTTTCGGGAAAAGGAGATATTCGTATGAATAGTTTGCATTTTCATAACCTTAATGATGGTGCTGTGTTCGTAATATAAACAAAGGGTTTGTTTACTTTTTAAACTGTTGTAATTGGCTACTTGTAATTGCTGTAATTCTCAAAGTATCATGTATTTATCAGAATATTTAATACCATTTAGCTTGGATGATACTTTTGAATTGATATTGGATGAACTATGCAGTTCATATTGAAAAAAATCAAAAGATTGGAAATCATCGTGACTGTGTTTTCACGATTTTAAATATTATAGTTTTGCGTGATTTTACCTGCATTTCTGCTGTGACTTCGTTAGGAGTGTTTGACAATGACGCACTGGCTGTCGCTTTTTCACGGATGGCTTCAACGCTATCGATTGGTATATCGGAAACAACATTTTCCATTATTTTCCTCATCTAAATAACGCGAAAAGGGTTGAATAATAACACCCGTATTCACCCACAACACTATAAACGCTAGCAAAATCAATCAAATCCCAACCTTAACACGAATAGCCGTTTCATTCTGAACTTGAATTCTATCGGCTTCCTGAAGAATTTGGATTTGTTGATTAATTGCGTCAATCTCTTCTGGTTTCAACTGCTCTTTATCAATGGCCTCCAGCGCGTCTATCTCTAACTGAAGTTTCGAAGTTCTGTTACTGTTCGCAAGATTGTCAAGAAGAGAACTCAACGCTCCCACAAGTTGTGTTGCGCTATGAGCATCACCCGAGGCCATCATATTTCCCAGTGGTCCATCCTTGGATATCATGTGAAGCATATGCGTCTCAAATTCTGCGAGACTTGTAATAGGCTTAGCCGTGACCTAAACATGAGATGGAATAAAGAAAATAGAATGGAAATTATGTTTGAGAGATAGAATTCAAGTTGGGTTCCAATTTGAAGGAACAGTGGAACAGCAACTTGGTTTCCGAGAGAGTATAGCTGCTATATGCATATGCATGCAGTGTATTGTCAGACGAGTGGCTTATATAGCTATGAAATATGGTGTTCCACGATTGTGCGAGTATATCTTACCGTGACGTTCAGGATTGTTACATTAGGAGCTAGTAATGAATCAGCAGCATCTACGATGACTTGTATGGAGTAGTTCAAGTGAGCTTTGCCCAGGGGAAGTTTGACGGGTGGCGTTTTACTTTTAGATCCAAAGTATATCAACTGTTCGAAGTCTTCATCGCTTGTTTTGTAAGCGAACTTGTACGATAACGGGACATCTTGGTCGCTCCAGCCCGAGCAAGAGACGCGAAATTCTGTGTCCAGCGCGTAGCCTTCTGCAGGATCTAATTAAACAAACAATATCTATTGTGTCTTTTGTTTTAATAGAAAATCAAAAGTTCTTTGTTTCTCTCTTTTGTCATTGCTATTTCCCCATGAAGACAGTCGCATGCAAATAAGTTGTGGAAGCCCTTCGCCACAAGGACGAAGGTTAGTGAACCAATTGGCAAACTTACCTATCACACACTCTCCACCGCTAGGAGGCTGGTTCATGAATAGTTCTTCTTCAGCGAAACCAGTCTGTTCATCCAGCGTGACGTAAAGCCTCAAACGATATCGTGATGTAGGCAAAAGAACTTTTTCCCCGATGACCACCGTATCTTTTGTGGTTGCCGTTATCACGAAATCTGTTTCAAAAGTCTTCACCTAGTGAAATGCAGTTGAGAGGAATTTCAAGTCTAATATAAAATATGACCAGTTTTAATAAGCAGATTCACCAAGGTTGAATTGTGAATCGAAATTTACAAAAAAAAAAGTGAAATGTGCCTAAAAACGACCAGGTTATTGCAATATTGACATAAACAAGTTTTAAGACGGGACGAAACATTTCCCACAGGTCTCGTCAACATTGAACAACATCTGATTTAGTTTTAACGATATTGTTCTTGACGTATTCGAACAATTCTGGCCACAAAATATTGTTCAATGCTGTTAATCCCTAGGGAAAAGGTTTTAGCCGTGTAACAGCAGGCGACTTTTACTTTTCAGCGGTAACCTCCAAACGGTTGGGAGGGTGATATATCCTTTGTCTGGGGATAGCAAAATTGCGCGCCGTGTACTAACCACTTTCCACGCGTCGTTACGAATGCGATAAAGTCGACCACGTTCTGGCGCCTCGTAGAGCTTCCACTTATACGTCACACGCTTCAATATTTCAGGATCTTCGAGACCACGGATGCCGCCAGTGTAAGCCAGCTTCACGGCAGAAACTCGTTTCTTTTTGCAGTTCTGAAGGCATCTGAATGATGGAAACGAAAGAAAATAGTTGTTAGACGCTTCGATCCGTTTCTAGCGTTCGTTGTGTATACGCCAAAACAAATCGCCCTAAACTTGGCCCTGTGGTGCTTCCATCCCGTTAATGAATCGCTGAACTTACTTGACAAAAACATTGAGAACATCTTTTTCACGTGTGTGGATGTTGAAGTACGACCTCATACGACGATGATTCTTTATAACCGTGAACCGTAGAGCGTAGTTCACGTTCGGGAGGACGGTGAAATTCGAATTTAGGTACACCAAATCGGCAGCGCTTCCATTCTTTAAAACACTAAAACCATCGCCTGAGCAGCCAGACTTCACCTCCGCAGCGCTGATTTCCTGCGGGGTTAGCGTGTTGGGAATCCCTTCGACCAGGCACTCCCAGATCAATGTTATATTCTCGTAAAATCCCGGCCCGACGTCCGGGTCCTGGGAACCAGATGCATCGATTGTCACATTTTGCGCGTAGCCTTTTGAAATGCCCGAACCACCGTTGACTGTTGCGATCAACGGGGATTCAATGATCCGAATGAAACCGTTGTCGAAACCGACTACCCCGTCAATGCCTAGCATAGTGATCGTAAATTCATTCTATACAAACCGTATGGTAATAGGCGGATATCGATGCGGAATCTTAAAGAAAAAGCAAAATTGCGTCGATTACAATTAGGGTAGGGGTTCGATCATTCCTGGGATCAAGTCGGTGAACTCTATGTCAACTGTAACGATAACTTGGTCGCCATCTTGAATTCACGGTCGACGATCGCGCCGACAGAAACAGAAAGAGACTGGCACTTGTACTTAATTCGACATGAAAGATGGCGACCAGGTTTTTGCTCTATCGAGTCGAGACTTTATTTAAGGGGGCTCAGGACTCGCTGTAAATCATCAGAAAGGCGCATGATTGGGCTCGAGATGACGTCATGGTTTATATAGGACGTATAAAAAATTAGCAAACATGTTAGGGGTATATTTTCCCCGCATTTTACAACATTTCGCAAGCAAACTTTGCAAATAGACTCTTCCTGGGGCCAGTCGTTCAAAGCTGGGTTAGCGCTAACCCTGGGTTAATTTTTTATCCAGTGTTTTAGTTTATGTGCTTCTGAGCAACTGTTCGTTTTAAAACTCTGGAAAATATGACTTCCATCGGTCCTGAAAATATTCATTCAACTTTGCAAACAAGCAATTAGAAAAATTAATGTTAAGATTTGCTTTAACCCCGGGTTAAGCTAACTGGCTTTTGAACAACCGACGGCTGAGGTCTTTAGGAAATAAAATTAGTCTTTATTCTAAATATTTTGTTACCTTGGGTTGTTAACGGCGACGTTTGAAGCAAAGATAAACAGCGTGTCATTACCGCCTTCAACGGGGTTCACTTCGTAGACCTCCCATAGAAAAGAAGTTGTCACAGAAGCTTTACAAAGGACGATATTCTGCGTGTCAACCATGAAAACCTGCGACCGTAAAACATCAGTCGCCGTTGTCCTATTCTTTCCGATGTTAAAAATATCGATTTTGGGATAATCGCAGTGATTCCAGACAACCACAGCCTTGTGGAACTTCCAAAGCTTCGACACCAAATTTGAACCAATCAAACGGGGCCAATACACGTCGATAAACGCGTACGTATAATTCAGAACGAAAGACTTTCCACTGAAGACGTAGGTATGGCCTGGAGACACTTGGTCGAGGAAACTCTGTTCGCATAACGTGTCTGGAGCATCCTTGTAGAGGTAATTATGACTGTTGTTTCCGAATCGAATCAGATAACACGATTCTGTTCCAACTTGATCAATTGTCACACGAAACGTGGTCGGATGATCGATCTTTCGAGGGCAATTACTATCGATGTCGATTCCAATGACGATTTGTTGAATGCGAATTTTGAATGTCGTGGATCCCTTGCTCACCGCATTCACGGCAGTAACGGTCGCTGTGAAATAATCTACCTCTCGATACTTATGAAAAACTGTAGCATTTTGCGTCACTTCTTCGTCGCCATCCCCAAATTGATAAGTGTATGTGATGTTCGTGCCGTCGGACGTAGTCACGTTCCATATCACGTCGTATTCCAAAGGTAGGCGATCAAGATTGGGCCCACGAGCCGGACCGAAGTAGCCAGCATCGCCGGCGCTGTGAAAAGGAGTGAGCTTTAGTCCTTGTATGATACGTTGTATTTCCACTTCAAACGTGAAAAATCCCCAAGAGATCTTGTTCATTATGGTACAGTTCACGTGGAACAGACCCCAGCTTTCGTAGAAATGTATGACGGTCGAATTATAAGGTCCCGAATAATTTTTTCCATCTCCAAACTGCATTTCCATATGCGCGTCAGTTGGGTGCCAATAGTACCTCTCTGGAATAGGGAAGAACGTGAAATTCATTCGACCCGGAGGCAGGGGACGTGGAGAGTCCGTGACGCCAACCAAATACACGCCGAATTCACCTTTAACTTGTTTTGTCGTAGTAACGGTGCCCAAGCTATTCGTGAGCGTTACATCGATTACATAATATCCACTGTGGTCAAATTTATGCCACACCGTCCAGCCATCGCTTGTAAATACCCCTTGGAACCATTCCTGACGGAAGCTGAGTGGACCCGCGTACGGATCGTTGAAATCCCACTTGATGGTCACGTTCGAGCCATCTGCGTGGATCGTGTAGTTCACTGTGTGATTCGTTTCCACGTATTTCGCGTGAATGATAATTTGGGGTCACGAATCGGACGATCGATCGTGACCGTCCGTACGCGAGTTTGAAGCGGCGTCACGAGATTAACGGCTGTTATCTTCACGTTGTAGTAACCGACACGATCTGTGAAGTGCTTCTTGTCGATGACCGCAGTTCCCTTGAGGGTGTCTGGAGAGATGGTCACATCCGTTATAGGGATATCGCGTTTTTCCCAGATGTGATAAAACGTCACGGTGTAACTGATGTTGGTGCCCGTGGCGGCTGTGAAATTCACCACGAGATCTTCGTCATTTGGTTGAGGATCTGGCTGGTCAAATTTGAATCCTTTTAACAAAAGAAACCATCTTTTAGAAACATATATTTCTAAATAACTTACTAGGAGTCATTATTTCATAAACATATTGATAATTTGTAAGGAAGATACAAGAGGAATCGCATTCCTTTGTCAGTATAAAACCATAAAAAAGTAAATCTACCAAAACATCTTACCAATGACAGGAACTTGTACAATTGAGATGGTGGAGGCGGTGATGGGGTAGAGTCTGTTGGTACAATTAATGCGAACGTGGTACACGCCAATGCCAGGAAACATGTGATAAATTTTCTGGTGAGTTATCGGCCATTTGTACACCTAGGACGAATCATAAGACAAATATATGAATATAAAACTCCCCCATCTAAGATTCTGGAGACGACCCTGATAAAACTCTCGACCACATCAAAGACTGACCTCTTCATCCGTGATCCAATAGCTGGAGTGACCAAACGCTCCGTCATCGAAATCCCAGGTGCAGTTGAAATCGGAACCGGTCTTCATATCGAAGTCGAATTTTACAGCATCTGTATGATTGGTGGGCGATGTCGCAATTACAAAACCGGTCAGCACGATGATTGGCTTATGCACTTTAATAGGTTGGGTCCAGGTCACCCACGAGACGTTGTTCCACGCGGTTATATTTACCGGAAATACGGCCCAATAACTGTAGTTCTTCAAGATACTGGTTTCACGTGTCAGAAGGCTAGACTTATCTTGGAAATCGAAGAAATGGATCACGTTCGTTCCATTGAGTTGGGTTAATTTAATCTCGACTGTTTCATTGACTTCGATATCACGATTTGCGTGGATCACGCGTGACGTGAGATCCACGATCGGGATCTCCACGATGATCATGAAGTAAAGTTGAATCCTATTCACCAGGTTATACGCGGTTATGTTCACCCAGTACTCGATAGGGTTCGCATAAACATGGCGTATGGGTCGTTTAAGCACTCCGTTTATGTCCAGAGATTGGTTGAGGAACTTCGTTCCGTCGCCCAAATCAATTTCAATTGTGACACGAGAACCGCTGTCGATATACCAGTCGATAGCGGTGATGTGTGTAAGCCTAGATGACAAGATAACATAAGTTATAATTAATAGAATCGATACTAAAGTATACTACAGACTTATTTAGAAACTCCACAGACCTATTTAAAAACTCGAATTAGGTAGATTTTCCTGGGGTCGTTTGAAAGAAATCAGGATAGCGCTATCCACCGAATAATGACTTTTCAACCGTTAAATAAAAGCAAGAACGTTAGCTCAAATTCTTAAAGAGAATAGCCAATTTTAGAACACTAAGGTTTCATGTTTTTAATGATTATACGAGGTTAAGATTGCTTCATTGGAATTCCGGAAGTATACATTTCTAGTAATTTTCATCATTTCTAGTAATTTTTTTTTGGGATTCAAACATAGTCTAATTGACCAGGATATGACTTGCACTTGCGATAAATTCTCATGAGAAAAACTTATTGCAATGCGATTCAATTTACTTAAAGAGAAGACCAAGTTCTAATCTTTCTTCTAATGCCAAGGTATTCGGTGTAAACCAGAATTTGATAAACTAATCGGAAACTATGTGGACAAGTCTTCCTACCTGGCCGGTTTGACGGGCGACGAGAGATTCACATCCTTAATGTAATCCTGAATGAGCAGCGTAAATTGTTCGGTATCGTCTGAAAGATGATTAAACGCGCGCAGTTTGATAAATTTATACCCAGGAGAGGTGTAAACGTGGGTGAAGACAACTGGTTGTGATACGTTCATCTGAAAGAAATTATCCGTGCTTCCGTCATCGTAATGCACTAAAAAAGTTACATTCGTCCCCACTTTTGCACTTGCTGTTATTGTGTAGACGTCGTTGGTCGCCGCAATGGCTTCTAGTTTCCAGGCTACGTCGACGATCGGTTGCGCGGAGACAATTTCTTGAGAAGTCTGGAACTTGTTGATCGCATTGTCGAGCGATATCGCGGCGTGGTGGACGCCCGGAGCGAGGGAGATCGGGAAAATTCGGGTTTGCGGGACGTAGTAGCGAGCCTTGAGGGAATGCTGCATGTGGACGAGCTAAAATGAAATGATATATGCTTAATTTCTGTAGAGCAAACTATACGAGCTAAATATACAACTTCTTTCTCGATGTTTGCTTCATTACGGCAAAATTTTCGAATTCTTACAACCACTTGGTTGCATTCAGCTATAATATAGAGATCACTGGTTGGGAAGAGGAAGCACGACAGGGGGGGGGGTGTCGGGCTTAGGATTGCACTGATCTGCTTATACGAACTTAATGGTTTATGGGACTCGTGAAAGTTAACTTAATGGCAATCGTATTTACCTTGGTGTTTTTCGCAGAAGCTGTGACATAACCGCCTTTGACGAGATTGCTTGCTTCCACTTGGAGAAATCCTTCGTATGCCGTATAACTTTCCACGGTCAGATTGGCCGCTTGGGACGATGGGTAATACACGCCCACGACGTCTTTCTCGCGCACGTCAACTGTCTCACCCTCACCTAATACTTGGTGTTGTCCAACTTTGGAGAATTCAACCTGAATACGTGACACAGTATATACTATTAAAACTTCATTTACAATATTTGTTATGCGGTAACTGATACGACCGTTACAGGTATTAACGCTTTTGACGACAAAAAATCGTTTGCTAATGTCAGTTCAACGTTTAGGTTATAAAACTTTGACCAAATTTCGTCAGAGAATAGACCGAGATAAGCCGGACTACTTAACAAAAGCGAAAATGCTTCAATGTAACGAAAAATAAAACTTGAAAACGTTTCTAATTCTAAAAATATAAAATTTCCCGCCAAAACTTTAACAGTTGCGTAATTGTATGTCGGGAACCAATCAAAACGCTCCATTCCGTACTGTAAACAAACGCAAATGCAGGAACTATGCGAAGAAGCTAGTGTAATCCGCCTTTAAATCGGTTTTCTCACCTGCTTTTTAAAAACCACCTCGTACTTGTGATATTTTTGAGGGATAAACTTAGATGTTGTGGCGGTTCCTTGACATTCATACTTGTCCTTTTCAAAACATCTGCCGGACGGCAAGTGAAGCATTTTATCTTCGCACGTGTACCCGGATAGATCAACACACACTGGATTTGCGAGTGTACAGTTTTTATTCACGTCACAATATTCTCGATAAACGCCGGTTCCACAGACTGGGCGAAGGATCTAGGGAAATAAGGAAACATTAATGTTGTGATGAATTGCTACCGGATTGCTATCATTTCTCATACAGGAAATTCGTTGCACCGACGTGAGAAATTGACTCATAAAGCGCTCTTACGCTATTCAAATTTTCTTGCAACTTGCAATGCAATTATAATTCGTCATGAACTTCGATAAGAGGTTTTATAAGTACATTTTTAAAAAATTCTTCTTACCAAAACGGAGAGCTTGCCAATGCTTTCAACGTTGACCTCGATAGATGAAACAACGCCTAATTCGACGAAGGTTGATACGAAGTACAGACCGCTTTGTGTTTGTTCTTTGTTCGGAATTTTGTAGTGAATTCCGCCAACTGTGCCGATGAAGCCCACTAAAAATGAAACGACATGCTTCAACTGTCAATACTCTTTTTACGAGTCGTACAATTGCACATCATATTACAAAATACTAATTCGCTGGTATCGACCTATTTATTTAGAAAATTCGATATTTAACATAGTAATAGTTTGAGCAATTCAATTCTCTCTCTGAGGTCAGGGAATTTGAAGTTGGTGCACGAGTATCAGTTAGGATGTATAGAGACTTCGATACTCGGTTAATTTCTGGAGCTAAAAAGAAGTAGATGAATGAAGGAGATTATTGAAGTGAAAAGACACTTCATCAGCGCATATAATACATGATAATGAATAACTTACTTGGAAGCATCGGGGTATCTAGTTCCGCAGCATTCATGCTGTAACTGAACACATCTATCGGACCAGTAAAGCCAGTCAAAGTACATTCGTACGGACGATTTGCGATGATAAGACCCGGGCATTCAAGGCTAAGACCTTTGGCTACCGTGATGACCAGAATGGAATGTCGGACTTGGAATTTTCTTTTGAAAAGCCCGCTTGTTTCAGCTTCAATGACGACCACTTCGACTCCAAGATCCTGGAAGGTTAGTTCTACCTGCGATGAAGTTGTTGAAAGAGACGAACGTTTTCTGTAAACTTTAAAAACAGTCCCAGCGATGGACGTAAACGAAAACGTAGCGGCCGTATTCTCTTTAATCCATGTCGGAGCTGAGAATTGGAAAGTGTTGTTCGCAAACTCGGTAACCTGATAAACCGAAAAATGCAATTTTCCACCGCATTTCAACATCTTCTTGTTCCGACAACGCGTTGAGCACATTGCATCAAAAACGTAGTCGGTCGACTCGAGTTTGTCGGCACAATAGCAGTCGCCGCTGTCGGCGAGCAATGCGTAAGGCGACGTAGTCCGACCGCATCCGACCATGCAGCTGAATGGATCCGAACCAGACTCGATAGGGTAACGGGAGGTGACGACGGAAGACGCGGGAAGGCATCCAAGACTGTTAGCGTCTAAAACATTAAATAAGATTGCTAGGAAAATAGTTATGGTCGACGGCAGTAATTCATGAGAAGACTTTCGAATTGAAATTCATATCGTAAGAGCCTTTACTTTCTCCCTTCAACGGGCTAGCCCAGACTGACGGATACACAACCTCACACATGACAAAGTATAAGGAAAGAACGAAAAAGTAAATGGACTTTTTGTCGTTTTACCAAACGGTGCAAGAAGTATAATCAACACTGCTTTTTCCCCTGCAATTTGCAATGCAATTCTACTTTTGAGAGATGTATATTTGGGAACAACAAAGATTTGTGCTTATTACACTTCATGCACTTTTCTTCTGCAAGACTCTTCGCGAATTTACATCTCTTTCAAGTAGAATTGCAAGTTGCAAGAAAAATTGCACCGTGTAGCAGGGCCATAACTACATTAAACTTACAGTCTTGCTTGCCAACTAGCTCCAGTCTCAACGCAATCCTATTGTGATACGAGGTTGGAAGAACTCGTAGCCATCTTGTAACGAGATATTTCCCAATGTTTACCTCCCGCAAAATGGAAGGATTCACATTGCCAGACATTATCTAGGTTGAAAATCATTGCTGCTTAAATTATAACTGATTTAGTTTTCTTCATCATTTATTAGTTAACTTGTATCATGTTTACTAGTAGAGCATTTCCGGCACCAAGGGTGATTTCTTTCGACAAAAATGAAATTTCTTCGCTTTTGCGAATACATATTTCGAGAACATTCATCGACTCCAGAATTATTGTTATCATTAAATTAGGTAAGATTGATTTCATCCTGTAACATTGGCTGAAATGGCTGTAGTAAAAGCGACGTTATTTTCCAAACCTTGTCTATCCCACTGGAAGTCTTCACTGTAATCCATGCGACGCCATCTTTGCTTTCTGCTAACATGAATTTCTTTACATAAGCATCTAATTCAACGTTGCCTTTGAGACGAACTTTGTTTATTTCCATAGTCGTGACAAAATCGACTTGAAGATACTGATTTGCATCCGATACACTACTTATCCAACCGCCTGAAAAAAAAATAACCAACCATAAAATCAACAGTTAATTATACACGGTACTATAATTTCACGTCGAAAATCTACAATATATAATAATAACTTTAATCCCAAATCTCGATGTGCGATAAATTAAGGATTAATTTAAACGATTAAAGTGATAGATTAAGGATTAATTTGAAGGATTAAAGTGATAGATTAAGGATTAAATTCTTGGATACTGAACGTGTCTTCGTTACCTATATTTTACGATACGAAAGTTGGAAGTGCTTTTATTGTAGTATAAAAAATTGACAAAAACCTACAGATCCTCAATATAATCTATACCTAAAGACATCCTGGCAAAATGGGGGAGACCATCTTCGGTAGAGCTTGATGCGGTAAAGGAACTGTCTGGTATCCGGAAGTTCTCAATTCCAAGTTCTTCACTGGCTTTAGTCCCTGGAAGAACAGAAAAGAAATCACGCATATTAACAAAGTAAAAAAAAATTAGCTAAAATATTTTAAAAGATTAAAGGCGCTTCCATAATACAGTAAAAACGGCCAGACCAGTCTCATTTAATTTCAGTACAGGCAGATCACTGGTATTTTAGAGTGTTTCAAGAACACTGCATTTAGGTACATCGTTATTTTTAGCTGCCCAGCACGGGGATATGAGTCTCACCAGGCTATGTTTAACGAAATACTTAATTTCAATTCAAAATATGACCGGTTTGACCATTTTAGCCGCTTAAGCGAAAGCGCCCTAAGCTAAGATTTCTTGATATTATTTCGAACTCTATAGCTGGGTTATTACCAGCCAAATTATATCGGTTTCGGGTAAAAACTATCGCTTGGTATTTTGCAAACACCAATTGAAACCACTCAATGCATATTGGTACGTACGTGGTTTAATTCCCATGCAATTATACAACGCCTGGAAATCTGAATTTGTAAGTTTTCTTTCCCAAATCGCCAGACTGCTGACGGATGAATGTGCAAAGCTGTTTGGTATCATTGCAGATTTCCCCAATGAAAGCGGTCCGAAAGTAGAACTTGCAAATCTTTGCTTTCCATTGAGGACAGTGTTCAGGTCCAGAAGGCAAGTCGGTCCATCCGCGGCACTCCATGAACAGGCTATGAAATGCCAGGTTGCCAGGGAAAACGGCGCAGAGACCCGCCATTGTACATCGCTGTTTTGAAATTCGATCTCGACCGGGTTATTATTGTCAACGCGATCTAAATGATAAATGAAATACGTTTACTTGGTTCTGCTAAATTCGTTGAGGTGAAAGGGAAGTATTTGCAAGTTTCTCATCACCATTGTAAAGTTAAATGGTACAATTTTGTTATATCTACAAAAAGCAAGACCAGTTGTTTTCATGCATGGATAGTCTGTACCACTGGGAATCGAATCACCCAAAAAATTGTAAGAATTAAAATTGTATCCTTGTTAACTCTGACATAAGTCACAAGAGAAGAACGCTGCGAGTTCTTTAAGCAGATCCACTAAAAGATTTCAGTTTTTCTTTCGAATTAAAAAACTTTATTCCAAAAATGTTTGCAAACCTGCTTCCATTGGTGCATAAATCGAAAAGCCCTGGTTCCCTTTTCCACCGGACAGGAAATAGCTTGCAGTTGTAGATAAAGATTCGATCTTCAGCCATATCGAGAACGATAGCCCTTCGCTGCAAAAGTCCTGCTTGTAAAGACACGATGTTGGAGAGTATAGGTCGACAAAGCCATTGGAAAGAAGAAGAGCTGTTCTTTGCCCTCTCGACAACGCTGGGCCGGTCGTGTTCATTGTAACGGAACCAGACGCTAGAAAATAGGTGCGGCTTCTGGTTCCGTACACTCTGTTGTTGGATAGCTTATCCAAGGGCCAGAAATAGGTGCTGTCGTCATGGCAACGGTCTGGTAGAAAAATAAGTAGAATTCTTGCAAGAAAGTTCACTGGAAATATCCTGCAATTTAAGAGCAGCTTTCCACTAAAGCGATTTTCATACGCGCACGTACACGTAAATGTATAAATCCTTATATATGTCATATTTGAAAAGGCTAGGTGAATAAATGAAAACAATTTAGTTTTTCGCATTTTTTAGTATGCATTTGTTGGTCCGCGAGTTAAATATTAATTCAAGAAAAAGCAAGACCTTTAAAGGCAGGTTAAAATCGCTTCTGCTCATTTTTTCGGCTAATAACAATGAGTAGTCTACTTTTTTTCAAAATTGCTCAAATTCACTTGCACGTTTCGTATATCTCTGAACATGAAAAGCGTGTCAAGTATTCAGAAAGTTCTTGAACGCATCCAAAATGTAAGCAAAGCATTTGTTCAGATTACGGACTGTACTTCACCTTTAACTGATGGGGAAGAGTTCATATTCGTGTATCTACTTCATTGCATTTCTTTTGAATTCGATTGTTTTTGCGGTGTTTGGAGCATAAATCATTTGAATATACAACCGGAAATTAAGCGTCAGGTATGCCTTGATCAGAATACAAACCTTTTTTGCCGCAGTAAATGACTTTTTCCCCCGAAACTGTGGCCAAAAACCACAGGAGAGGCAAGGGTTGAATATTTTCTGTCAACTCGATCAACACCGTAGCACCAGTCCCGATAACGATTCGTCCAGGTTTCCTCATATCCACCCAGAATGGAATCCAATGCGAGTCGAGGTCCACCCCAGGGACTGACGTCGGTCCGGCTTTTACATCCCCTCCCCTACTTAACTTTATACTGTCCGAAATAGGTATAACATAGACAAGTTTGTCTAAGGAGTTGCCAAGCCTAATGTCCAACTTATCTTTGCCTTGTTTGAGAAACGAAAATACTTCGCTGTGGACGTGACGTTGTGATTGTAGCGCCCCATCGGAGAATTCCTCGAAAGTGCAAACGTTTTCTTGAAAAAATAGAAGCAAAATATATACAATTCGTTGAAATATGGTATACCCGCTGCGGTATACACTTTTCGGAAATATACTTTTTAATGAAACAAAGGCAATTCCGTTAGTAAGGCCTAGTTCATTCGTCGCATTTTGCTCGCGTCGAATGCAATTCAAATGATAGATGATGAGATGGTAAACCTTATTCAGCCTCAAAACGTCGAAACGTTGAGAAGTGTTTCGTCTGTTTTAGGCAATTGCTATACCACATTTGAGCTTCATTTGAAGCCATTCAGCTTCATTATCATCTCATTATCTATGGTTTGATTTGCATTCGACGCGACCAAAATGCGACGTATGAACTAGGTCTAACTGAACACACACCATCAACACAGGCGCCATTGTACACTTCGATCTCTGTGAAGCGAATACCGCCTTCCGAATACTGGCTCAGAACGGTAAATTTCACCCATGATGCAACACGAGGGACAAAAGAGACTTCCTCTGGTTCTGTGGATCCTGGTAATAGAGTTATCTAGAAGAAAAACAGTCGAGATTTGTTAATAGGAACCATGCATACAATTTATCGGGTTAATTTATTAACGAAGTTAATCTTAAAAGTTAAGTGGGAAAAGGTAGAGTACAATAGGGAACATTTAGATACAACATAGGACAGAGGAGAGCACAGAAGAGCTGAATGGAGTATATACAATGAAGTGGAGTAAAGCAAACGTACAAAGTATATTAAAACAGATGCAGGTGATAAAATAGAGCACAGAGGGGTAAGAGACTACACGTGAGTACAATGGTGTAAAATTAAGTACAATGGAACCTGCTTATCTTTGACACCGAGGTTATTTAGTGCTATTTAATAAACAATTTTAATTGAGAGTCAAAACGACTAATAGTTATATATTTTCAAGCTTTATTCTCTGCACTTACATCTTCTTTTGATCCATCAGAAAAGCTGATTGTGATCCACTCGGCTTGGGCGCCATCGTCAGACTCCGTGATTCTTACAGTGTCAACAAGATACGGCCTCGCAAAAGCGATCTTCAACACTTTGTTTGAATTCTTGTCGCCATCTTGTGCGTCCTCTGTTTTACCATCGGTAAGGCGAGGACAGGAATGCTCTTGATCGCCCACGATAGCTGAGGAATTTCCACCATTCTCTTGCAATGCCACGTTTAGAAAAGTGCATTGAATGAAATCTAAAATAGACGAAGGTTTTATAACGTATTTGGTGAATTCATATCTTCAAAAGGCCTTGCAATGATGACTATTATTTAAACGTTTACGGTAAGCTAACAGTTGATGTTGTGATGTTGACGAAGCCTTAGTGATTTGTGAAAAGGCAGCACGATTTCTCTCTTAAATTCTCACAAATCCCCTATTTGAACGGGCAAATTATGCAGAGAATCTGTGAAAATACAACATCAGAATGTTCACAGAAATCTAGTTTATTTTCGTAGCTCAAAAGAGTTTGGTTCCTATAACTTCGAACCGTATCTAAGAAGCGCCAAAACACTAAACACACTAGTACATTAGTAGAATAAAAACAAATATGCATTTACTTAACGAAACTTAAGTATGCTCGTTGAAAAACATGATTAAAAGCTAGCTATTTAAAATTTCCAGAAAACTTTTCTCAGGTTGGGTTTTTCAAGTCCGGAGCAAGCTTAGGCTAGTTTTACTTGGGCATGTTTTTCAGCTTTGGCAAATTAGAATTGCAAATATTTTGGGCGTTTGCATGGGGTGTTTTTTTTATCAAATTGTGTTTCTGCTGTAACCCATATCTTAGCGCTCGGAGTTTAGAGTTTAATGTTTGGGAAGGACCACCTTAATTTAATTAGCGGTGTATACAGGGAAAGTTTGATAAAAGCCGAATGCCGACCGGAGATGTTCCTTGCATCGAAACAAAATCTAACACTGTCTGATTCAATGTGGGACGATATCCGATGTGAACGAAGGACATTCCAAAAACGTTTAGCGTGCAGTGGCTGGCCTTAACTTGCCCTTGGCTAATGTTATTTGAGTTTATGCAAGGTTTAACCGCTTTTGAAAGTTTATATATAAATAAAATTTCTCGCACGCGACAGCGTTGAAGCCACACCATTGGTTACTACCGGCCATTTTCCCAGCACAATCACGCCTGAGTTTCGTTTTTAAAAAGCCGTGTATTTTAGAAGAACTTTTGAACAAAAAAAGTTGAATAATTTGCTATTATATATTTGATAAGTGCAGTAACTAATTAATCATTAAATGTGTTTTTTCTTCGTAACCTGGTAACACGTTACTCCTACCTGTTCCTATAAAATACATGTCAAAAGCACTTACAAGACGAAATATACGAAGGAAATTGTTTTTATATAAAATATTTTACATATAACTAAGTCCCAGCCTTTAAGCGAAAATAATTATATCAAGCACACAAGCGTTGAAGTAAATTGCAGTGCGCAAATTTCAATGTAATCGGTTCGACAATAATGCAGGTTGCTGCACCATTAAAATTAACTGTGCTGTAGTTTTTCCGGGCTTAACGACATTGCCTCTTCGCGAGAAAGGTCTGAATAATTTATTTCAACGTTAAATTTCATTTGTAACTTATCTAAATGAGTTCGAATCGAAATTTCGATGATAAAATAATGACGCAATTCAGTACGTGACATTGGCCCGTCGAAATTGACGTTATTTTTAGTAAAATAAGTTTAAAGTAGCTACTATGAAAACCGTTCTAGGGTAACCGCAAGAATGAATAAACAGCAAAATAATGAAGACGTTTATTTTACTTAATGCAAGTCGATGTTTCAAATGAATAATTCTGATGAACTTGTATGAAAACTGCTATAAGTGGTATATATGAAAGTCTGCAATATAAAGCTTCGACTTTTATGAAAAAAACTTGCAATTAAATTAAGAAACGGTATTAACTATACATGCTGGTTTTGCCACATTTAGTAGAATAGCTTCATGTTGATACTAATGTTTTGTATCCATAAACTTCCAACCTTCCTCAATGTCAGTTGATCATTGCAGTACTGCTTGTCTGACTGAGTGTTGACTGTTGCTACTAATATTAGCCTGACTGGTCTAGAACTTAATCCTTTGCAATGTTTTATTCAGTGTTTCACTTTCAACCTTTCTCAATGTCAGTTGATCATTGCAGTACTGCTAGTCTGACTGAGTGCTGACTGTTACTCCTAATACTAGACTGACTACTCTACTTAATGCATTGCAATGTTTTATTCAGTGTTTTAGTTGTCATGCCTGCTTAAACGCTAGCCTGTTTTTTAACATAACCTTATAAATACATCGACATTGGATGGATTGTATAAAATTCCTAATGAGACTGAATATTTTGACATTTTTTAGTGAGAAACTGTGCAAAAAATGTGTCTTTTGAAATTGGATCACCTTCGGAAAAACGGTCGACGTCCGGAAGTTTTAAGAAAACTCGAGATAGATGGATCAATTCATACTGCAAATCCATCTAGAGCAGTATCACCACCGTTTAACGGTAAAATATTGAAAACTTACCTGGATCAGGCTTCTCTTCTGTAGCACAAGCGCTCCACGCTGCCTATATTTATTAAGAAAAATGAAGTAAAAATTATTCAAAAGATGAAACGGAATCCAACTGAATGAGACTGGAAGTGTCAGACAAACATAACTTACCTCAAAACAGCAGAAAAAAATAAAGTATGATAACGCATTCATTGCACGAAACGCTCAAGAACATCCGTTTCAAATAGCAATCTCACATCGCCTTTGCTCGCTAGTAAATAGCACGAAGCCCTTGTCTTAGCGTTAATCTCGAAAAAGCACCTACGGAAGAATATTTGTTCGACGCAATAATTCAGCTCAATATTTATATAAACATGAATTTTTAATGTTTGTTATATATATATATAAAAAGTTCTGCAGGTATTAAATGTCGCGTAGACTAACAAGATAAGTATATGGAACTTTTAAAACGACAGATACAGATAAAGCTGTGGTGAAATTTATGATTAACTATGAGAATGGATCGGAATATCCTTGCTGGAGAATTCGCGACGTGGCACCGGCAATATAGATTTTCGGCAGGTGTGTTAAATTCGACTGGCAGGTTGTCCCACATGCGTTGACGCGTTTCATATTCAAACACTTTCATTCGAAGGGTCTATTATCTTGTGTTTGCCATAGCAACTGAAACGGCCGTTGTGATTCGGGCGGTTGAACTAATTGATTGCGCGCCCAATTGATGTCGGGCTTATTTTCTGGGCAACAACTATCATATTATCCTTTCTGTTCCGGGAGCTAATTTGCAAGCGATGTGAAAATTGAATCTACGTTCTTAATAATAAAATGCCCTTATATAACAAGTATATTAGAAGTCTGTTACATGCAAGGATAATATTTACAATCTTTTCTATATAGTCATTGTTCAAGATGCTTCAATAATATATAATAATAATAAAAAAATTATGCTTTCATAATAATAATATAATGTTAAACTCTGCTATATAGAAAGTGATAATCGTTATAGACATAGTTGCACTTTTAGATAAGCACCGTTCTTCCAAATGGCTGTCACTATATATATATTGTATAAAATAAGTCCAACTGAATACACAGTTAATATAGATACAAGAAGTTACAATTAACTGGTGCATTCACCGCGTCTAAGTTAATCGGTGTCTGTTGTTAAGTTATTAGCTTGCAAAGCGACCATATGGCGTCTACTTTTTAATTCACCCGCGGTCTTTTGTGCAGCCTGAAGAAAGACTGTCTCGTTGTTAAACCATGTTATCAAATTTACCAGCCATGCAAAGTTTCCTATTTTGAAATTCATTACTTTGAATGTGCCCGCGAATCTAATTTCTTGCTGAAATACCTTGACTGCATTAAAATATATACAACACCGATAGTAAATCCGGTAAATTTATTGCGATTTTGAAGGGGATTTTAATGGAGTAAAAAAACGCGGGCTATGTTCAACGCTATATTGACACGAAATTTGAAATTTCTCTCTTCAATCACTTACACTTTCGAGGGTTTACACGTTATATATCTAAGTCACCAAGTGTTTTCGGAAATAGCCATTTTACAAGTGGCTTAATCTTGGGCTATCAACAATTGAAATTTCGCTTTGTATATAAAGAACACAGTCACTTCCTGTAGTGCTATACGTGATGTCAAATTAATGCATGCGCTAACAAAATACATCTGTCAGCGTTTCATGCATGTGGGCTAGCCAGCCTGACGATTTATGCCTGGTTTTCATTTAGCAGTAATTTTCGTGAACATGTCAAGGTGGTTGATGTATTCGAGTATTCGTATGTGTTTGCAGTTAACAATGACAATATAAATACATAAAATAAGTGCAAATTCCTATCCGGATTTTTTCACATCGATAAAAATGACTTTTTCAAGAAGCCAGCTCTTATAGTTCCGCTATGCAAATTTTGCATAAGGATTTAAATTATTCATTTCTTTGCGAGTATATTGATTGTTTTACCAGTCGATTGAAACGTCAAACGTTATACTGTGTTCAGCATTTGAAACAGGTCAAAACACACGATTTCACAACGCACATTTAGTGCATGCAACATACAGTTCTGTCAACTATATACCAGATTATTCTCCTCCATATTAATCGTATAAGACACGCAGAAGAGAAAATTTCACCAGAAAGTATTATATTAAAGGAGATATATTCGCAAATCGCTTAAGAAATATGAATTTATATATAGGTTGAAGGGGAATTATATTTAAAATTATAAATTATAAATTATATTTTATTGCCATCTGTCGTCTTGCATGCGTACATGCTAATCTATTTTGCGTCCCCCGGATATAGTTCTTCAAAAATAAAATCAAAATACTTTCATATTATAAAGGAAAAATTCCCAAGCGTCTTATCATACCTGTCACTTCATACGTCAGTATAATAAAGTTTTTTTTTAAGTAAACCAAGATGGTTAATATTGCCTTCAGTGTCAATTACGGAATGTAAACAAAGTTTAATCGAGCCGCGTCGACCCATCCAATAAATGTACGCGCAACTTTATATTTCAAAGGAAATATTCATTTCCGAAAATTATTTGACGCAGTTATGAGTAATTGTAAATGTAAAAGTAGGGAACTTAAGATAGACCAAATCTACGACGCGGACGTGACATAAAATCAATCGCAAGCCGTTAAGAATTCAGTTTTAATTTAGTTTTACATACGGCTTTGAGCTTTTTACCAAAAGGACTCCATAATCTATATTCCTGTTGTGAAACTGTGGAAATTTCGACCGTATTACTTTACGTCCGCATTGTAGATTTGGTGTGTCTTAAGGTTCCTAAATATTAGTGTGTAACTGCTAACCGTAATACTAAAGAAATGGCTTTTAATGCCGCTAATGACCTAACAAAAATATTGTCGTGTAACTTTAGTATTATACCGATACCATACTATGCAGTATCCGCTGTTATAGTCACTATTTTAGCATAAAATACTAAATAAAGTATATCACGATGTATGTAAGTACAGACTATAATCAAAAGTATGAATGTACCTTATTTATCGCACGATTTGGAAACGTTGATCTGTTAAATAAGCACTTTCCATCGTCTTTCAAATATAAGTACAGACTATAATCAAAAGTACGAATGTACCTTATTTATCGCAGGATTTGAAAGCGTTGATCTGTTAAATCAGAACTTTCCATTGTCTTTCAAATGATTTCTCGACAACAATGTTTCACCTCACATATTCTGAACGTGATCCATAATGTAACTAGCAAAACGTTCGCAAATTATGCTAATCGCCATACAAGTTTGTCCCCGAACGTCGATATATTTCCGTTCGCAAGTTCGGATTTTCGAGTCATACGCGCTATCGTATGACTTCACATTGACAAAACAAGACACGCCTTTGACATGCGGAAATTCCCGAATAATTCACGGAATACATATTTCTCAATGAGTCAAGTTTATTATCAACAAATATTTGTACATTCGCCTGGCATATATTTACAAGAATATTTCGCGCCGGAAAACCCCGGCCAAATGAATTGTATTTGACAAATTTCATCGAACTGAAACGCATTCGGCTCACGTACATCGGGAATACTTGAAACGTTTTTTTATTAAATTAAATTAAATTTGCCGAAAATATTTGCTCGTGTTATTAAGTGGGATCTCGTAATAGGGCCAAACTCCAAAGCCATGCGCTCTAAAGAGATGCGTCCTTTATTTAACCTTATACTCTGTGAAGTTTAACTTAAGTCTTCTAGATTATTTTACTCGAGTGAAGAGTTTGCTATAGATCTGTTTTCCATTCTGTTTTTCTATTTTGACTTGTTTTGCTATTCTGATCTATATTCACGATATAATGTATCAATAAAAATACAGCTTTTTCCTCAAACACGTTTTCTAGGTCATATATATGCCGCGCAGTTTTGTGCCGATAAATTCATAACGCAAAATATGCAAATCAGGATCTTTTTTTAGTTCATTTGAGGCGAACCTGACTTCATAACATCCCCAAAGTGATTTGATTCACGAAATAGTAATCATTCCATAAATTACTAACACTTTCGGTAATTTAACGAGCGCGAATTATTCTAATCCCCATCAAAATCATCGTCTATATTTGACGTTTTCGCCAGCGATTATCATAACGAGCGCTCATTCGTATTCCGCTCAATCTAATCTTTTTCAGATTTAGCGACTTGTGTTTAGTTCGGTTTTAAAACGAACACAAACAACCGTATGTACACACAAAATAAGGTAGCTTTTGACAAGAAATCACCAACATATCATTTGCACAAACATTTGCGCAGGGGTCAAATAAATCCTTCTACAAACAACTAAAGTACACGCTGCCGGTCAATTCGCAATAGAAGTTCCGGCACTTAAAAATAGGAATGCGTACTTAGTTACAGAACAGCAAATGCGGTTTTATCAACGTAATTAATATCAAATGTCTGCTAGATAATCTTAAATTATATTTTTAGAAGATCGTGCGCTAAACTCGAACGGTGCTAAACACTTCTGGTGGAACAACCATAAGATGAAAGTTTCTAAATTCACCGTTTCTAGTCTTCCGAAGGAAATGGACGTTGCTTTCCGGAAACGCGGCCGGTTTCGCATGGGGCAGTATAAAACCATCACAGATTTCCCTGAGATGACATGTTTAAAATCAGAGAGACACAACAAGTGCAAAAGATTACAAGATCTTCAGAAGATAACTCAGGACAAAGGTAGGATTATAGCTTCTATCATGTATAACGTTTATTTGAACGTGTCGAATAAATTGTACAAAATTTTAAGATTGCAAAATTCCGGGTTATTTATCAGGCTATAAGTTTGCAAGGTTTCTGTTAATTGAGTCCTCGATAAATTTGCTAATGTTAATATCAATTACAACTACAATATATCTCTTGTTTTAAATCGTATAAATTTCAGAATTTAATTTCTCTGCTTCCATTCGCGAGGTCTGCTTCATTCGCGAGGCGCGTTTCACAAACCAGTAAATCCCAAAAGAACAAGTTAAACTAAGGACTTACACCAAGTCACTGCGCTTAGATCTTGTGTTTCGCATGCAGGAAAGATTATATTCCAAACCACTTTTTCTTTCGTAAAAGGTATGCTAAAGTATATATATCGCGAATTTGACAATTTCTCGACGATTTTAAATATTACTGTCCTAGCCCATGTTTACGTTACGTGTTTCAAAGATGTTAATACGACAAATGTATATTTGTTATTGATTTGAACCGAAGGGTCGATTAGCATATTCAAAATAAGGACTTACACCAAGTCACTGCGCTTAGATCTTGTGTTTCGCATGCAGGAAAGATTATATTCCAAACCACTTTTTCTTTCGTAAAAGGTATGCTAAAGTATATATATCGCGAATTTGACAATTTCTCGACGATTTTAAATATTACTGTCCTAGCCCATGTTTACGTTACGTGTTTCAAAGATGTTAATACGACAAATGTATATTTGTTATTGATTTGAACCGAAGGGTCGATTAGCATATTCCCCGTGTGCTGTTTTGCATATTCTGCACTAGTATACTATATTTTAAAACGTCCGTAAGATTTCTCTAGTCGCACAAGCCATATTTCCGCTGTTCGACTATTATGAAGTTCCTAAGTATTGAATGACAATTAATTATCCGCACCCAAAAATTTCCCACGTTCTTCCATGATAAACAAAACGGGATTCCCCCTCATAGACCACGTGCGCGCACGTGGACAAATCAAGATTAGAAATTGTATTATGAAATCGCAGTTCTATCCATAAAGTTGAGCTACGTTTTAATTGAACTAAAAATAGCTTTCAAAAAACGCGAATTCAGCCCGCGCCATAGAGAGGAACATTAAAAAGCTGAATTATATCATATCACATGCACGTGCGCATATGAAAAATATAAGACTGAAAAATGAAATTTAAAACAATGATTGTGATAGAAATCATTTGGCACCGTAAATATATATCCCCCTACAATCCTTTGAGACACGATGTGTCAGGCACCATAATAGGCGTTACCTACAAGCTCTCGAAAGCACAAGTTTGTTAAATAAATGCTTGGGGAATTCCCCATGAGATATGATATATATAGAATACGTTTTAAGCGCGCCAATCTAGTTTTGAATTTTATTGCTTATAAGCAGGTTTATTATATGCTATTGAATGAATTATTTACAAGTTTTACGTTGGAATTCTGAAGACAAACTAAACGTGCTGTAAGTTATCGCTAAAAATCATTTACCAGCTTTTGTTTTTCAGTAAAACGCAGAGAAAATCAGGATCGTGACCCTGTCCTGATGCGAAAATGTAACCGTCTATTATGTCAAATTTTGTACGTCTTCCAGTTAGGGTTACTTACGGGGCGGGATCTTACGCGAGGAGTTTTTATTTTGTTTGTGAACTCTCACACAAAAATAAGGTTCGTTCAAGATGTCGAACTTTTCATGGCCGAATTGAATGAAAACAAGACTTTATTACATTAGGTTCGCCAAATGAAAATTTCGACAACAGAACGGGCATATTTAAAAAAATAATTCGCTTTGTACCAGCGAAAGACAGCCCTAATATTATAGTTTCAACATCGCTGTTTTAAAATCATTTCGAAACCATGTCGAGATAAAGTTTGCGGAATAAATTTTAAGTGACAGTTGCCGATCTATGACTGATATTTCCGCCACCATTTTCCGCAAAGGATTTCTGAGCAAAGACTGTTACATTTTATCATATGAAAACGCTTTCGTACTCGTCAGAATATGAGTAACGAAAAAACATTGTTGGTTGTACGTTTTATATGAGAATTTGATCAAATTTCATTGCTTGATCAAACGAGTAATACATCAAGCGCGAACAAAAATCGCTTGAGAGAAGTAATCGCTTTTATTCCTTGATCAAACGAGTAACATTAGAGTCGAGAGTTTGTATAAGAGTTTCATAAACTTTCATTACTTCATCAAACGAGAAAACAAATCAACCTTTTGAAATTTCAGAACTCAACTATTCAACAAAATGTCCCAATTTCTCGTCATTTATCTGTCATTCATACTGGCAATGATCTGCGAAGTTTATTCGACAACAACAAAGACATCTGTTTGTTCGACGGAGAGATTTCAGCTGCGAGCAGCAGTTACAACCGCCTATCAAGAGTTGGTAAGAAACTATAGTTCTTCCTAAACTTCATGTACCCCCCGCTTGCCACCATTTACCCCCCGTGCACCATACATGTCCCTACTACATCCCTAGATTACCACTATTATATTATTATAACAGTGTCTCCGCGAAGGAGAATATGACAGATGACCCACAAGGCATTTTATGTGTTGCAAAGTTAATTCGATAATCTGTAACATTTTTCACAGGAAAAAACGAGCAAGAAAGAGATGCCAAATTTCTACAATAAAGGACTCACGTGTCGGGTAGGTTACAAAGAATGAATAAAAAATGGAATAACGCTTTTTGAAAGATGTAGACCTTAATTTTGTGTTTTCATTTCTTTAGAATTATATCGATGGTCAGTCACCTTTTCCGACGGCGGTTCTTAAAAAGCCTTTGAACAATGTAAGTAATACATTAACTTTTTCTAACACAAACTTGTTTTGTATGCCTTCAAACTTAATTCGAATCTTTGAAACCGCTTTTGTAAGACCTCTAGTGCATCATCTTAGCATGTTACCGATATGACAACGATTTGATTCATTGCAGTTTCTTGGCTCAAAGTTTTTGGAACAGAAGTACGAAGTCTTCTGGCCGTTCGTTGACGCGATGATGGTAAATTTGAACGGAACCACCTCAGCGCCGAGCAAATCACCTGGATTTCAACTGTGGAATGTCTACAGTTACGCCACCCAACTTATAACGTGTGTTTTTAGGAATGTAAGTAAAAATATAAAGCATTGCCCAAGTGTCTTGTAACTCAAGTAATATACACCTTTCGTATACTAACAAGGCGAATTTTGACTCTTTGTTCCAGACCGCCTCGGCTAAAAAAATCGCGGTAAAATACGACGTGACATTGCATACAAATGATGTTAAACAATGTCTGGTGAGTACTAACTCTTTAATTACTAACCGAAGAGCATTTCACATTCTAATATCCTATCGAACTGTACTGAAACGCTAGCAACAATTATCTCGACTTAAAACACCTGCAATAGCATCTTATTAATTGAATAAACATTGCCCAAAGCTTTTCACTGAGTTAATTTCATCAATTTGCAAAAAAATGCAACTCAACGGCTGTTTATATGACGCCACTTCGCTGAGGTTGAACGAAGCGAAAATTACTTTGAAATATTGAAATGAGTAAATAAGATGATCCTGGATATAGTGCAGTCATCCCAGAAATAGCATATGTTTGTTTGGTTCAACAAGGACTCGATTCGATACCTCAAAATGATAAATCACGTTGAATCTTGTGTGACCGGTGTTATATACATCGCCCAACATCAGAAACTCAAAACACTTGTCGCAAGCTTCTCGAGAAGTTTAACCAGTGTCTTCGCTCTATCAGTTACAATAAGGTTGTCATTCACAACTTTGTAACAACCTGCAACAACCTAGTATCGTTCCCAGCCTGCTAGCAAATCATATCAACGTATATTTTGATGCAAGGTTGTCCCTACCAACCTTGACACAACTAGACAGTTAGGTCGTGTTTTCCCCGCGTAAACCAACCTCAATTCCTTTTTTTGTGAATTTTAGACCAAAGCTGGCATCAGAGCCTCGCGAAAACGCGTTGAAATCGTTAAATACACCGAAATATTCGAAGAACTGTACCAGGCCCTCGATGACTTCGGTAGCATTGCCTCGACAATCAAATTCCTGGGGTTAAAATGAATTGCCACAGGAAAAAAATAATTTGTAACATCCAATTGTTATGCACCACTGGTGTACAACAATTGGATATTAGTAAATTCAGAATGAATTATCAGAAGTTAGCGTAATATTTACGTGTTTAATTTATGTACGAATCAAATAAAATAATAATGTAATAGGCAAATATTTTGTCGTATTTTTGTAATAAAATGTTCTAATTTAAAACCAATTGTAGATTTCTATTTTTTTGCTTTAAAGTTGTAGTCCTTTAAAGTGTTGTTTACACTTTTTTCTGCTGTCACTTTTGGGGGACTTTTAAACAAACCGCATTAATATTAAACATTTTCTACAAAGGAACAACTTCACAACTGCATATTCGTAACATAAATCTTTATTAGTATCAATCTTTATAGATCTAAACCACAGCTTTTAAACCTTCCTTTTAAACCTAGATCTCATTAACAAGAACAGAATCAAAACATGCATTTCGGGGGGGGGCATGCTTAAAGCATAGTTAATAGGAAAAGACAACATCTGAGTGCATAAGGATGCACTATCCAGAGTTTGGTTTGAGATCAGTGTTAGTAACTCAATCAAAATATGTCTTCATTAACTACGCTCGGGATTAGTTTACAAAAGCTTAGTCGATCAGTTTAAATCGGAGACGACCGTCACTTAACGCCTCCGTCCCTGGCCGGGCAATGCCGAAGGGTCTTCTCGGTTGGCCTTCGGGTTTTTCACCGTTTCATCGATGGATAATATGAGGCACGCTGCCTCGGTTGCCGCTGTCAACGCGTTTATCCGTACGATCGCGGGCTCCCACACACAGGCCTCGTAGTTATCCGCAATATCTTCATGTGTGACGTCAACACCATACCACTTCCCACCTGGCGAAAGAAAAACGCGTCTATTCATTCATTCTATAAAAGCGGTTGTTCTAGTTGGCGGCGAAGAGCTACGTTCGCCCACGAGATCGCCGACTGACGTATGTTAAAGAGGCGGATTTAGGATTTTCAAGATGTCCGCCAAAAATTATGTAATAATCCCATGTAATCCAAAATCCACGGATTTAAGCTTTAATCTAATCTTTTAAGGTTAGTAATTGGGTATATAGGGGTTGAAGTAAGTTTTAGGATTAAAGTTAAGATTACAATCGTAGATTCTGAAATAGGATTAGGGTATCCTCAGTGAAGTCTTGCGACGAAAACAGGGGGCCCCTATCCCTCCCCCTGGTGGGAAGAAAGCCAGAGGCGATTGGTTTTTCTGAGTTTCATCATTCGAGCAGAGATACTTAATATTGAACATTGGATTGATTTGAAACTGAAAATTGATGGGACTAAATTGGTGTATAGCCCATATAGTATGGGAACATTGACCCCGTGATCTTAACGAATACAGAATAATATCGGGTCAAGCTGAAATGCGCTTACCTTGTGCGTGCTTCTGACGCAGTTTATTCAAAATATTCGTTGCGTCAAAGCCAGCGTTGTCACAGAGCTGTCGTGGAATTATTTCAAGCGCTTTGGCCATTGCTGCTATCAAGAGCTGTTCTTTACCGGCGATGCTTCGCGAATACTCCCGAAGATATTTGCTCAGCTCCAGTTCTATGGCGCCGCCACCGGCGACCACAGCGTCGTTCTTGATCGCCCGACGAACGATCATGATTGCGTCATGCAACGATCGTTCGGTCTCGTCCATGAACTGCTCGGCGCCCCCTCGCATGATGATCGTACATGTTCGTGCCTGCGGGCAGCCTTTGAACATGTTATATCTGTTTAGAAATATAAATCCCGCGTTTAAAAAGCAAGTCCTTCAAAACGGTTAAAAGCTACAATATTTCTTCTCAAAAATACCCAAGTGTAGGTTTATTCGATAGCTTAAACCAATAACTACCTTTTTATATCGATTTCCGGTCGACTTTGAAATGAAAACGTTTAAAAATCAGTAAAAATAAAATTGCCGAAGATGTCCTCAAAATGGCCGCCATATTTATATTTTCATAACCATTCTTCGTCTCAAATTAAACCCATACAAGGAATGTATAGATCTTGTTTAATGAAAATATGGGTTGTTCAACAACTCATAGCTTTGTTTAATGTTTCGAGTCGACTGCAAAGTCATTGTTAAAACCATAGGCGGCCCAAAATTGGCGGCGAAAACTTTTTCGGCAATTTGTCAATGTAATGTATAATGTAATTATATATTATACATTACATTGACAAATTGCCGAAAAAGTTTTCGCCGCCAATTTTGGGCCGCCTATGGTTAAAACCTTGCTGTTTGTTTACATCTTACAACTTAGGAGGAAAACGTTTCTTCCAGCTGAGCTGTATAAAGAACTGGACTGTTTGTAAATACGAGCATCGTATCAACGAGAACCTACCTTTCTCCACCGACTTGCACTTCCTCAAAAAGCTCGCAAGTGCCAAGGACATCTGGAGTTAAACTATTTGCAGACGTCTGAATGGAGCCACCACAAGCCTTCATGGTTCTCTTGAGATCTTCCTCAGTCACACGACCGGCACAGAACATGTCCCTATCACAGCAAAATGAAACACCTTTGAACTATTTGTAAGCTTAAGCCATTGCCATCCATTTAAATATCGTTTGAGCTGGCATCATGTAAAAAATAAAAGGTCTCTGAGTATTGCCAGTCCTTGCAGCCATTACTGAAGGTCTGAAGCAAGCGAAAATAGGTCGACGTGCAATATTCCCCACTACAGAGCGAAAACCGAGTCAATAATGTGAATATTCTACAGTGCTATAACAAGAAGGAATTTCGTTTTAGACCAATCAGCAAGTTTGTTTACATTTTCAGTAACCCAATCAGAATGCATAAATTTTGATAAAAAGTACAATATATATAATTTTACATGAAGTATTTAAAATTTAGGCATTCAGATTGGCTTTGTCTATACATTTAAACAAATATGGCGATTAGTTTAAAATGAAATTTCTCCTTCTTCAGTGCTGTACCTATCTGCGAAGTATTGTGTTGCAACATCGCCGATGGGTAGTTTCGACAAGATTACTTGAGCTCCACTTTTGACCAGCTTCTCAAGTTTATCATACAAGATGTCCCATTCTGCATCAACAATTTGTTGATAATCCTGCAAATAGGAAAATATTTTAATAAATTTACTGGCAGAAAAATTTTGACACTGTCTGAATAATACATTGTAACTGTACATACTGAAAAAGAGCCACTCTCTTTTGAGGGTATTATCTAGTGTATTATCAGTACAGTGTTGCTAAATCTAGTGTATTATCATATCAGTTTTGCTATATCCAGTGTATTATTAGTGCAGTGTTGCTATATTCAATGTATTATCATATCAGTTTTGTTTATATGCCAGTGTTTAGTGCAGTGTGCTATATGTGTATCATATCAGTTTTGCTATATCCAGTGTATTATTAGTGCAGTGTTGCTATATTCAGTGTATTATCATATCAGTTTTGCTATATCCAGTGCATTATTAGTGCAGTGTTGCTATATTCTGTGTATTATCATATCAGTTTTGCTATATCCAGTGTATTATTAGTGCAGTGCTGCTATATTCAGTGTATTATCATATCAGTTTTGCTATATCCAGTGTATTATTAGTGCAGTGTTGCTATATTCAGTGTATTATCATATCAGTTTTGCTATATCCAGTGTATTATTAGTGCAGTGTTGCTATATTCAGTGTATTATCATATCAGTTTTGCTATATCCAGTGCATTATTAGTGCAGTGTTGCTATATCCACTGGTTTATTCATCTCTATGGTTGCAATATCCAGTGTATTTTATTAGTGCAGTGTTGATATATCCAGAGTAATATTGTATTAGTGTTGCTATATCCAGTGTATTATTAGTGCAGTGTTTATATATCCAGTGTATCATGAGATCAGTGGAACACGCAGGAATTTGTAATACTAGTCTCACCTCAACTGTGTTCACTCTAACTTCAGCATTCTCTTTCTCAGACTTCAACTCCAGCTCAATGTTAAGCAAAGCTATCTTTGGATTCAAATACTTCTTCGGCTGCATCTCAAAACCAGCGTATGAAAAAGATTTCTTGAAAGCCACTCCAGCCACAAGTTGAGTGTCCTAGAAAGATGCGCGGAAACAAAACAATTCAATGCAGGACTCATTCAAAATCAAAACTTCAATTCAGTATATATTCAATACTATCCTCAAGCGTACCTCAAGTGCACCCCCTGAGACCTTCTTCATCCCAATCATATTGAGAGGCAAGAGTTCATCCAATAACATGACAGCATCAACAACCATTTTTGAGAAAAATTCTTTTTGGTTGGCAATTAGTTTAGAGCTCATTGCTGTGGCAGCGCATTTCTCCAATAAACTTCTCATCTCACTGGAAAGTTAAATACAAAATTAAAACAATGCAGGATTATTGGGCTTATTTATCTACAATTAAATCATTGATACTTTATCACAAGATATGCAATTAAATAAACAAGGATTTAAATGAAATTTTGCATCTCTTTTATCCCATATGTTCAAACCTCAAATAGACATCCAAGCTCACCTGGGATCATCTTTCTTGATCTGCACAGATATTTCTTTGATCTTTTTGATAGCCTTAATATGAAAGCAAAAAAATTGGTCCATCAAAAGCATTAATTTATCTGCCATTGGAAAGACAAAGACACACTACTCCTTAGTGTCTTAAAATTGCAACTGGTATAAGCATTAGTCTCCCATTTATAATCCATCAGCCTGTAATAATGCCAAATATATTCTGCTTCTTCTAATGCTAGCTGGATTTTCTAATGTGTAGTTAGGGAATGTTTAACTGTAGAGCATGTACAAGTTACGTCAAATACTTACCAGGTTAACTGCCTTCCTGTAGCTTTTTATGATGACCTGTGGGTGAACACCTTCCTCAATGAAAGGTTTTGCCATTCTCAAGAACTCGCTTGCGAGTAGCGTCACACTGGTTGTCCCATCTCCTACCTACATGAAAGGTAACAAACAACTGTTGAAACAGTTTTTTCATCATTTTCCACCCCACTTCATCAGTTGCCTTCCTCACAGAGGCCAATAGAAGAAAATAAAAACTTATGGAATATCATCTCTCTGACCCTACAATCTGCCTATACAGTGGCATATGCATACCATAGCACAAATATTGCAAAATAACTTGGAAGCACAACTGTGGCAGAATTTATTCATCAATTATTTTACAAACCTCAGCATCCTGAGACTTTGCTATGTCCACCAACGTCTTTGCAGCTGGATGCACAACGTCCAAGAGGTTGATAATGGTCGCTCCGTCATTGGAAATGGTTGCTTTGCCTAAAACAAGTTGGATGAAATATATTAGGCAATGAATATTATTAAATACTTAAAGCAAAGAAAAACAAGAACAACAGTTAGGCTAGCCTAGGGAGCAAGCAATGTTGCTTCTTCAGGAATGCCTTGTATTCAAATCTTTCTAGGGCAGTATCCCGCGAAACTTCAACAATATATTTAGCAATTTTTGTGGTCCGGCAGAGTGCATCCCATATAACAAATCTTGCAGATCATCTCTGGTTTGGAGTTCCCCCCAGCCTCTTGACAAAGCTACTTTAATTATTATTTTTCCATAAATGTTGCCATATCTCTGGCACACATACATAGAATACATCAAGCTACCTCAAATAAACTATTCACAATATATTTGTAGCATTTGCCTATAACTTCAATACATCATTGACAATCAATTAATATACTTTCTAGTTAATATTTTAATACTGACTTCAGTAGTTCACTCTGTTCAACAGCAGGCAATCCATAACGCATTTAAAAGCAACAGAATTTCACACGAGTCTTGGTAAAAATTCTGACGTTTGCACATTCATAAAACGTACAAAGTTGTACTGAATCACACCCACCTCCGCTGTCAACAATTAATTTATCCATTCCCCTTGGCCCTAGCGTCGTTCGTACTGCATCAGCGACATACTGACACGCGTTGATGTTGCTGATCAACTGCGGCTTTCCTTGAGACGTGTCTGTCCCATCTTTGAGTAAAATTATGCCCGGTTGCTGTCAAAATAAACCATCCCAACAAACGGCATTAAAAACCCATTCTCATCCGCGCGAATGCGTAAATTTCTAGATCGAGCGGCTAAAATCTATACTACCCTAGCACGATAGGCTGTTGCTCGAGGATTTACTAAAAAAATACAAACAAGATGGAAGAGGATTGAAAATAACGTGAAATATTACCATGATTATGACTTCTCAAACACTCCTCGCTTCTTGCAAGTCCAAAAGAATTTTGATGTCTTTTCAACGTACTTTATGTTGTATGAATATTTCGGCTCGAATGCAAGAATTTGAACACCCTGAGCTCAATAGTAACTCTGGATTCTGGAATATCTGGAATATATTGCGCAGAGTGGAAAATTTCGCTATATTAACTATGACCACCGCGTGATCACAGCAAGCCCAAGTCTTCTACGCGCTTTTGCTCGCTACAACGTCAAGAAGCCAATATCAGTCAAACAAAATTATTTATGAGGGACTGGGGAGTAGACTGCTGAATGAGAGAGGGATAGGTTTGACGGAAAATAACCTTTTATTAATTTGATCGTTTTTATAAAAATATAATTAAACTATTTCGGCTTATAATACGATACCTAGGCTTTTACGGAGTTATTAATCGCCCATACAACGACTAATTTCAGTGCAAAGTTATATAACTCTTTTATGTCGCCGAATGTCACAAGACTCAGTCTTTTCTCCTAATAATAAAAAAGATTGATGAATATTGGGCCGGTTGTATCAAGACGAACAAGTCAACTTGAATATTATGCACTGAATATGTAGTTGTAAACAGTATCTTTGACTTTGTATTAAGGTTAAAAACGTTTAGTTTGCTTGTTGAATAAAACGACAGACTTGATTTCTATTTTGAACTTAACCACCGTTTAAGCTAAACGGGCTTGATACAACCGGCCCCTGACCTTAAAACTTGCTACAGAAATTCGTGTTACATTTTTTTAATATATATGAACTTTGTGCATTGATTTTGTCTAGCTTCGATTTATAAATGCTACATTTTGCATTCATGATAAATTACCATTATTGCATGCTAACTAAAGCAGGCTGTTGATTTAACGAACAGAGCTGATCATTGCGACAATTTGACCGCTGTAGTATCAAATAAAACTAGGAGTATCAACGGATACCTTTCCTTTCTTTGCCAAGAGATATAAAAAGAATCACTTCGCCAATAGGCCAAGCAATATTCGACCTGCCGAGTTTCAAGTGGCGCGTGCAGGCCCCCAGCGACTACCCAAAATTTTTCCTTTTGTAAAATCGCATCCCATATATACAATGAAATTCACTTGCAGTTATCATTAAAGGGCCTTTATATTCAAATTGTTAACTGGTGTGAGACCGTGCTACAAGCACGGCTGTTTCAAAACCAAAAACGAAAAATTGGAAGCCATTGCTATTTCTAGGAATTTATGGCCCTCTGACGTTGGCGGATTTGCTGCGGCATGTTTGTTAGCATAACTAAACAATGTCCTAATTATCGACGTTTAACATATACCATTTATTTTGATCCATCTTTGCAACATCTGTTCCTAGCTGGTTGAAAGTAGCAAAGAAATTACTTTATTGTGAAACTAGCGATTTCGATTTTGGTATAATAAATGCTACCTGTTTAAAAACACTTGTAACAGAGCATTTTGTAGCATAAAAATATACGACAAATTGATTGTAGGACTAATATATTGATATTTCAATTATCGAATAAGGGTAATTTGTCAATAAAGCTTATCGTTCTAGAGTTATTTATATAAGCTACTGCTTTTTAGTGCAAACACTCAGCTTGTCAAACAAAACGGTGCTGCTTTTATTTGAAGGAGTTCACTCATTTAAATCTTGTTCCTTTCTGATCGTGAGGCGGTTGTAGAATTAGTTAAAATTTAATATGGCAGTACATTAAGTTCAAGAGCCGACTTAATTTTGAAATAGATAGTCGGATTATATTCAAGTATTTTGTACGCTAAGCTTAAGGTCGTTGAAAGTCGATGAGATAATACTTCTGTTCGAAATTGAGACTAATTGTCGAGGAAGAATTCAGATGAAAATTGGAGGAAGGATACTAAAATTATTATAAGCATTATCCGGACCAGAATTCGGTCGCGTAAATCATTGTTAAACGGGATATTGTAATATCTCTGTTATGGCTCCTTATTCCGTTGATTATTCCCGGCCGGTAATCTAATCACCAATGATTCACAACATGAAGCTAAGTTGATTTATGGCTATTCAATGATATATTATTCCCATTTTTCCAATTAAGATGTGCTGATAAATCTGTGAACTTCTCGGCTGGTTATATTAATTAGATCGTCAGTTGCTTGCGAGCAAACTCACACGGTTCTCATAACATTACGAGGCAGATCAGCCTCTCCCTAAACAAGTTACCCTTTTACTTTGGGTGAATTTAACCTTCTGGTGCCCAAGGGTTTCCCTGTGACGAGTAAAATCGTCTGGCGTTAGACGGAGTAAAACACTAAAGTGTCACAATGGCCACTAGAGGGTTCATCCTAACTGCATTAACTTTCTTCGACAATCCTTTTTAAAAATTTCCCACTAAGAAATTTCAGTCAGTCTTGAAAAACGGGTAGCTATTATAAATTGTAATAGTGCAGGTATATATTTTGAATAAGTCGCATCTTTTCAAGTTGACTGTCCTAATGTTTAGCGTGTTTCAATTGAATTTGAAGTACACTGAATCAAATGCAAGCGGTCTCGTTTAGGATACAAAAATGAATTAGCACAATTAAGCGTGACTCGTATGACCTTACGCCTCCTTAGAAATGACACAGTTACATAATTACATGATTACAGTGTCCAGATGTTGTGAAAGTGCGAAAATGAAATTCCTGAGGCAACATTTCTCGCACTTTTTTGCGACTTCTTTAGCCTTCAAAGCGCAAATTTATGAATGCGATCAAACTAGTTAACGTAAACTTGCAACTGAACGCAATTAGGATATCGTTTATAACGAAAACTACCACAAGTATTTCTTTCTATAAATAAAAACGCTAACGTTTCTACTATTTTTGTTATTGTTCTTTGAACACTTTGCGGCGGGCTAACGGTGAAATATTATGGTCTTAATTCTGCTAAAATAAAACCAAAATAACTAAAAATATATGTCAAGAGCCCTATCAAAGTTTCTGTTTTTGAAACATTTTGCGACATCCTTTCTTTTGCGGCTATGTTTGCAAAAATGCATCTTTCGCCCTTCCCGGCCCTACCAATGTCACTAAACTTCGATTTATTTTTGTGTTACTGACAATGTTATTTTAACGTGGTCACGAAAAATCACCCTAGATTGACGTCGATTTGGGCCCGTTTCAGCCATTGCGGAATCGCTTCGCAGGAAGTTCAATAAATGGGCACTTATAATACTTTCCCTTTTGAATTGAATTTGCCCAAAAGTTGGAAGCAAATTCAAGCTATGCTTGCAGTAACCGACAAAAATGTCTCAGCCCAACATTCGTAACAAAAAGCACCTCAAACATCAAAGTAATAAGAACCATATTCATTATTCAATGTTTCGCAAGCCAGCTCAGTGTTTACCATTTGGGAACGGGCGCGTGGGATGGTCACCTTTGTCCGAACCAAGTTCCCTAAGGAACATCCACGAAGTTTATCACGTGTTCTTTTGCCACTCCCGGCCGAAGTATAATCACATGTGTAATAAACTATTTTCATATGCCCAGCGAAATGATATTACATATGCGTAGGATATTGGAATCAAGCATTTGCGAAACCATTTCAGGCTGATGGTGATGTTCTATTTTTATTTCAAAAATCGCTGCACGGATGAGGAGATTCGGCCAAACTGCAGATATAAAAGCGCCGAGGTAAATATGGTCGTCAAACAACACAGAACCCAGCAAGATCGTAAGTCTATTATCCTTACAGCACGCAAGCCAAAGTTCAACTTTAAAAGGTAAGGTCAATTAATCAAGGGATTATACTTCGAACGTTGAAAGCGATTAGCATATAATTAATATTATCGTATTATCCTCATAAATGTTACAATTTAAGTAGGCGAATGTATCAATCTATTGACCACACAGAAATGCTTAGCGTACAAACGAATCGAAATACTTGGAAACTGTTAGAATGACCTTCTAACAAAAATATTATTGAGCTTTTCTCGGTAAAATGTTAAGAACTCTTAGAATAGCCGGGTCGACTTACTAAGAATTTATGCAGGATAGTATAAAATTTTGTTTATCATTGAGATTCGCGATAATGATACCTAAATCGCTTAGAATTACTACGATACAACTACAAACCATTCTCGTATTTTTCGACAGACAAAATTTAAAGGCCAAATCCATGCAACGCGTAACAGTACCCAATTTCAAACAAATATAAACTTATGACTTCCTATATATGAAGGACCGACAATTTAAATTAGTGAAAATAGCCCACATATAATAATATGACCTATTTACATCGAATATTGAACACTGTTACAAGTTTTCAATTGGCCAACGATTTATATCAAAATGTCCTTTTGAAGTTGCATCATAGATGTCTCAAATCTTGTCCGTATAGAAAACTCTTCTCCACTATAGTTCCTACCTAAAAATTATCGCCAATTCAAATCTCCAACGTTTAAATCAAGGCACCGTAGCATTTTACCATCAAAAATAATTGAAATTTGTTAAGTAATATCCTTATTATCTAGTTCCTACTTGTCTCAACTTTACCCGAATTATCATGGAATCCTCAAGACAAATTATCGGAGTAATTTTCTTCATAATGAGCTGCACTGCGATTGGTTGCTTCGCAAAGTCTTTTACGACTTTATCGTCGTTCAACGACGATCTGAGCGAACTAAACATGAGCATTCGACAACTTACAAAAGCCTCCGAGAAAACGTATGAGACAATGGTAAGTTGTGGTCGGTAATAAAAATCTTTGAGTACCGTACAGAGCCAGAATAATTTAATTTCTAAAGGTGTTTAGCTTAAACGGTGGATAAGTTCAAAACGGAAAACAAAATTATCCATTTATTGAACAACTGAGCCGAAATATTTCGATGTAAAGAGTTTAATTTTCGATGGAACAGATGTATAGGTTCAGCCATTCACAAAATGTATGAGAGAATTTTTAAACTTTGGCTTATCCACCGTCTAAATTAAACACCTTTCGAAAACCGGTCCCAGGATGACAGAATTTGATCGATAGTTCTTACCAATAGACAATAGAATTATTTATTTGCATATTTGCAGTACTGGGTAAGAAAAATCAAATATGGCTTTCCTG